ATTATGCATATCAATTTCAGTATTGTAAATTGTAAATTAATAATCATTATAAACCTTATCGTACTCATTTGGAACCGATCGAAATTTATGGGCCTCCCTGTACTAGGTTTTGCGTCGTCAAGCTACTAAGATATCGAAGTGAGGAGATTCGAGGAGGCCCGTCATTTCCGGCTCGGCTTCCAAGAAGGTATGAGTCAAGTGAACCATTTCACGCTAGTCAATACGATTTATACAATACGTAGCGTACAGTACAATATATAGAATGCACATCATTACAAAAAGGATTTGCTGGATGGACTATGTGTTCGAGTGCATTCTGAAGCTATGATGAAAATAGCGTTTCAACTGTAGTCTGTGGAATTCAAGGCGATTGCAGCACGGAATCCCAAGCGATAAAAAAATGAAGTGAAACAAAAGGACCAAATCCACTCGAGCACTGATTTTTTAATAGGATAAACATAGGCTATCAGGTTGACGCAGGATTGCGACAAAGCAAATGACAGCTCCTCAGGTGAATACTGCGAAGGAATGTTCTTGATTTTCTCTGCCCATTGGTGGGAGCAGTCTAGGCAAGGCTAATTGAGAAATGTATTGGATCGCTCCGGATAAACAAAGCCTGTTCCTGCTGTGAATCAACCTGTCTATGAAAAGTTACAATGTCGGAAGTCCCACGAGGCTGGGTCTTTGGACACGGACATCAAGGAAATGGCTTTTCAAGTTCCAACGAGTAAATTCAGTACCTGCAAACGCAGGAATCCAACACACAGGCTCAATGTCCCAGCGATCTGTGAACTCCGTTAACCCTGTAACTACCAGAACCCGGATGGTGACATGTTTATCTCGTTGTTTCGTCTCTTCATTCTCAAAGAATCTCCTCAAAATACTTCGTCAAATTACTATCATGTGTCTTCATGAAAATACATTGAGTATCAGACTTTTCAAGCTCGCGGCGCAGCCTGCACAAGTGGCTACATTTTTGTGTCAGGGTCCAGTGGACCCAGGGCGGTAGTTGCAGGGTTAATATCGAAGGCAGCAACGAAAAATTAAACGTTCTGAGTGCAGCTTGACAGGAAAGGCGTCGATCGGCGTGCCCTCTGGTGGATAAAATCATCTGGCTCTAGTTTCCCTGTCTTTTCGAAGGTGTCGTTCGCTCAGTTCCTGTTCCTTCTCGAGCACTGGCGGGTTTGCACATGCGAGTTTACTATTACAAAAGCTCCTCGCGTGAGGGATCGTCTCCATGGACAGTCCATGTGCTCGAGAATATTTTCGCGGAATTGAGCTTATCTTATTGAGCTTGAAAGTGTAAGTGCAAACTTTAGAATAAATGTCGGAACTTATTTAGAGGAAGCGCGTGGACGAATTCTGAATAGTATTGGGCGTTGGATACGAATCCAGAGTTTTTCAGAAGTAGGTAAGTATTTTTCACTGAAAATTGCCCCCATTAAACTAAGTGGCTATGCTCAACTCAACAAAGGAATCTTTTCAGGTGCGTGTTAATTTTTAAAGTATTGGTCACTTTCACCGAGGAGTAATGCAAAACTCTTCGCGACGGCACTTACGTTTCAGAACCATGTAATTTTATCCTTCGGATGGAAACATGATGCAACCATGTAGCTGTTGCTTCTGTTACACATAGAAGGAAAAAAAAAAGAAGCAATTACGCTTGCGAAGCGATAACGATATCAGCACGGGGTCATTCCTCCTAAACCAAATTCCTCAGTGGCAATGTACAACTAGTTCGGAAATATTACATCAGCAGGTAAAGAAACGAAACACTCAGTCGATACGAAACTGAAAGTTCGTCTACTCTTGGTACGGGCACGTGAGAATTAATTTAATTTTTATTAGTGAGCAGCAGACTTGAGATATTGCTCTGTAGCGGAGACGGACGCGGGAATCGTTCCGTTGTTTCATGCGAGGCCTATTTGTGACGACGGGGTTCCCCAGTGGCACGGTGTTTTGGGCCGAGGCTGGCACGATGTTGGATCGATATTGCAGCATTGACCCCATGTTGGGCCAAGATTGGTTCAAGGTTGTGTGTTGCTGGGATGAGATCCAACCCCAAGGAATGGAGAAATGAAAATCCGCCATCTGCTAAAAAAAATTTACAAATTTTTAAATAATTAAAAAAATAAAACGAAAGATTCCGGCAGTCTAAATGTCCTTTTGAGGCGTTGGGGCACCTGTCCTCGATGCACTTCTCTTATGGATCAAGAGGTTAGATAAGGGAGGTTAATCTCAAGGGCTCTGTCCTTGTGACTAATCACATGATTGTTTTTGTTAGCCATATCGGAGCGAGGGTCATAGTGAGTCATTGGTCAAGTCTCGCATTCGTGCCGTTTGCGTCACATTTCATTTATCATCGCGACATTTCGCATCTCTGGAACGGCACGTGGCTCATCAAAGTAAATCAGTTGAAACGTAATCCCTGGCGATTGTAGCAAATGCGGAACAATATTGTCGATCTAGGACCCCCAAAAAACGATAGATGCGACTTTAGGACGAGTTAAATAGCGCTTCGTTGTTTCCACCTACTTTAGCTTTGCCATCAACAGGAAACAAACGCAGGGAGAGCCTACAAATTATGTAGCCTTAGGCCTGCTGAAACGTCAGTTCTGCAAAGCCTATCTTGAAGCCAATGGAGCAGCATACACATCCCTCACGAAGCCCAAGCGGCTACCGGAGTTTGGCTCAATGGGTCAGATCAAACGCACTGATATTGTATGGCATTCAGCTGTGGACAATGAGCAAGTCAGAAGTGATAAATACACATCAAGTGAGCCACATTCCTATTGTATTTGAACAAAAGAAGGAGAAGACAAAGCTATTTTGAGAAATGATGGCTCAGTCGAGTAGAAGAGGGTTGCATACAAAGGGAGTGATTATTTTCTAACCCAACTGATGCATCATTTCCCAAAATAGGTATACACTCACAATCCTTGGCCATGGACACAGTAATTAAAAGAAAAAACTGGGGGAAAAATTACTGCAGAATTGGCACCAACACATGCCTGTGACCATCACACTCAAGCAGTGCTTTCTCTGAAGTACTTCATTAACTAAAGACAGTAGATCCATTGCACTCTGCTCCAGTGTCAGCAAACATGATTCACTCTGCCTCACAATTGCCCAAAACCCAGGTAAGCTTGCAGTCTCTCCACTCCTTTCAAATTCATTCTAGTGAACGCCTGGTAGACACGACATTTCACACTAACGTGTGACCAATATATTTGTGTGATGAAAATAAGTTAAAACCATTAAGATGGACTGGGATCTTAGCTGAAAGTTCTCCATTGCTAGAAGAAGCAAAGCAATTGTTTATGGAAAAAAAACATGCTTTGGTGACCAATTTTCTTTGATCCTGTTATACTCTCCAGTAGAATTGCCATGGGAGTGTCCCAGAAAATTTAGGACAAGTGTTCACCCACACACACTTAGGTCCAGTTCCAGAATATAATTATGCTAAGTCAGCCTGCCCTGACCTTCAACATTGCTCCAACGTGAAAATGCTAGGCTTAGAGTAGGCAGTTGGTATTTGCATATTCACTTTTTTCTGTTGTTTGTATAGCACTTCTCTAAATTGCAGTCATTTGTAACATAAATATTGTAATATAAGCATAAGTAGTGGAGGCATTACTCAGTGGCAAAGCATCTGCCTTTTACCCAGGAGGCCTGGATATGCTAATAGCCAGTGGGACACTTGGAGTAGGGTAGGTACTCATTCTTGTACAGGACTTGGCATATTTGACATTTGAGCTTGGAAAGGGGTGTGAAATTAAAATTTTTGGGGGGATCCAGTAAACAATGGAGGAAAATCAGCCCTGGGAAAAGGAGCTTGAAAATGCCTCTGGACTGGCATTCCCAAAGGTAGAAAGCACTGTATTTTTTGCAATTTTTTGTGAAAGCATTTTTTCTTACATAGGCCTGAACTTTTTGTCTTCAATACATGCCAAAGCTATCAAACATCCAGTTTTCCTAATCTCATGGACTAATAAAATTGCCTTCCTTTACTGATTGCCCTAAGGTGGGAGAAGTTAACCCTTGGTCAATTCTTTGAATTTAGGGTCAGGCAAGTTTTAAAATGTTCATAGCTACTCATGGCCAAGAGAACCTAACCAAACTGTCCTATTATTCTCCCATATAGGTCAGGCTTACTTTTCTCACTCTGGCTGTGGACTCCATGAAAAACATAAGATAGAATTTTCAAAAACAGTATGGTTGTCATTGTTGAGGAAATGTTAGCAAGAAGTTTATGAGAATGACTTCCTCACCTATGCCTTCTCCAGCACATGTACCTCAGATGCATAGATTTGCACTCTAAGATATAACCATATGTATAATTCCAACTAATACAATTTGTTTTCAAGTTTGTATGCCTTACTCTGCTATAAATTCCTTTGCAGCCAAGTGGATTTCCTGCTTCATGGGCCATTCCTGATTTCTTGTTTCCTTGGAAAGCCAGACTAACGGTTCTGTTTATGCCCTAACCTGGATGCATATACTTATACCATAACACCATGCCAGAAATGTTGTCAGAATCATATGGTGAGCATGCAGTATTTGTAGCAATAATTACAGTATATTGGGATCAAGAAAATCTGGGCCCCCTGAATTTGATCAAAACATGTATGATTCAATGCACTTGATAAACATCATCTAGGTTTCTTCTGGGAAAAAACTTTTTTTTTATCCAGACCAGGAGAGAAAAATTATGGCTAAAAGAAATTGGTCAAAAGGGGAATGCAAAAAAAGGCAACAATTTCTGTAAATGTAATATTACCTCCAAAATTGTATTATGCATGGAATGTGGGATGGTATGCAAAAACAAGCTGTAAATATTCTGGTATCCATGTGAACTTAATTGAAAGTTTTGGGTGTTGCCATGCATAGTTCTGAAAAGCATCAAGTATGCCATTGTATCACATACTTTACTGGTGCATTTTTATTTCTGCTTATATTGTTTTTGTGCTATTTGAAAGTAGTTTGGTTTGAGTAGGTCTATGATGGGGCTAATGTCAGCTCTCTTGCCTGTCCCTGTAGATTATATCTTCAAATTCCTGGTCATTGGGAGTTCAGGTACTGGAAAATCATGTCTTCTTCATCAGTTCATTCAGAACAAGTGTGAGTCTCAGATCTAAACCCAAATATTAGAATAGGGCTTAGTTAGCCCAGCATAGGATTAGATAGGATTAGATGTTTTCAGACTGAACTGGTACAACCCTAGGTAGAGGAAAACAGAGAGAGCACTACTTCCAGTGGATCTCCTTCATCAGGTGATTCATATAACCACCCATGTGAAATATGTCAACTTGGAATTGATGGAAGCACTCTTAAAGGGGGTACCAATTTAATCTGAAAAAAGTGTATGTCCTTTCTTTACAGGTCAATACAATGACCTTCCTTACATAAGTTTCCAGACCAAACTTCCCTGATACATCCTGGAACATGTTGGATAGGAAGAATTATCTCTTTAAGTAATTTGAGAATGAAAGCAATGGTGACTTAGGACTGCAGAGAGATGGCAGTTGCTTTTTACAACCATGGTTAGTTTAGCCTAAAAAGGACAATTGTATCTGTGTAATTTTGAACATGGAAGCCTTGATGGTCTCAGGGAAAATTTGCTATTTTGGCATCTTGAGTGATCTACTTATGAAATAATTTTCACCTTTTTCATTTAAAGAGACCATTTGGAAAGTTCTTGATTGCAATTTAGCCTAAGCTGATTTTTCAGCACCTCCCTCATCATTAACTTGGAGGCATAAAGAAATTGTCTTTGATGATATTCTGGATATTTGAAGAGACTGGAGCTGCCACTTGCTACAGAATTTCTCAAATCCATAGGTCATGGAAGAGTCTGAAATTCTGATTAATCATAACCCCTTCCAAAACTCTAGTATCTACAGAAAGTATATCTATTTAGAACAAATGCCAAGGGTGAAACTAGATTTCATGTAAACTAAGTTGGGTTGAGGTTTCATACTTACCACAAGGTTAGACCTGATGTTCCTTGATTTTTAGCCTACTGTGTATACAAGTTTTACAAGAAAATATTAAATGTAGAGAAAAATTATTTTTGGAATAAGGTTGAATACTATCTGATGAGAAGGATGGAAGAACTTAAAAAAAAGAAACAAAAGGTATAAAAGAATATATGAGGTATAAAAGAAGAGAAATTGTCTGGTGCAAAAAAGAGGGAGAACTAGAAACAGCTGCTGAATTGGCAAATTTATGATTCTGAAAGGGATTTGTCTCAGTCCAATGAATTTCTGCCTGTGATCATGTGTGATGTTGACCCTCATGTCTTTTTAATTGATTATATTAATTTCATTCATTTCTGTACTGAGGCAGGATTACTTATTCAGGGGATGTGCCACAGTAGTACTGGAATTCATAGGCAGTACTACTTCAAAACCATTTTAGAAGAAATAATTCTATCTCAGATTAGAAAATGTGTAGAATTATTCTTGTCCTAAACAAAATGTTGCACCATCTTGCACATCACTACTCATTTGCACCATTTTAGAGCAAGATATTCTAAACTTCATTTGATCTGATATGGCCTCCACACAGACCAGACTTTAAATTTTGTGGATTATTTTGCCTGGGATTCATAATCAGACAGGTTATTGCCATAAATTCATGCTCTGGAGCTCTTGAAAAAGAATATTCTGAGAGCTGAAGAATCCATTTCCTGAGAGCACTGCAGTGAGAAATTGGAATGTGGTGCAATTTATTGAGAGCTATGACTAAGAATGAGGAACTCTTGTTACATCTTCTTAAAATCTTTAATTTTCTAGATATTTCCATCCTAAACCTGAAAATATTATAATAAATAACAATAATAAAATGCAACAATAAATGAAACAATAATATTCAGGCCTTCAGGTTACAAATTTGAGGAAATAATTTTTTATGTGTTTCCCTTGCCTTGGAAAGATTAAATTAAAAGGTGAGTATATGACTTTTTCTCTTTTGGGAAAAAAAACCAGGTTTCATTGAGGTTTTATAATGCATGGAAAATACGAGGGAAATATCCTTCCTAATATTGTTAAGTAGAAGGCCCAAACTTTTTATTGTTATACTTTATTTTGGTTTGGAATGTAGTAAATCTGCTACACCATGCAATAAAGTGTTGAGGTGAAGCAAATCCATGTTCATTGGTAGAAGAATCTTGCTGCTTAATAGTAATTATTATTTGTTCAATAGAGGCATGAAGGCAGGGGCTTCATTTTAAAAAATGACCACATAAAAGGAAAACCACTTTCAAGTCATCCATCCTATCAAGTAAACTGGAACAGCCTTCCACAGTTTTTCATGAAGATATAGCAGTAAGCAGAAGTGCAATATTTATAGCCTCTGCAAAGCTGCATAACTTTGTTCCAATCGGTCACATGAGAGTGGCTTCTAAAAAGAAGTTATAAATTTAAAGGAAAATCCCTCAAAACTGTTATTAAATTAACCCACTTCATGGCATCAGCCAATGACAGATGGAAAAAACTAATATTCCTTCATTATTGCTTTAAAAAACATGATCATTCATCAGGTCTAATTTTACAGTATATGTAGACAATATAGGGGCTGGGACAATAAAAGGAATCATCATTCCAGAAACATAAAAAGTTGAAAACTTCTCTGGAAGTTTCCAACTTTTCTAACTTCCCTCAGTTTTACCTCATGGAGATGAGTCTCCTATCTTGGGCTTTTTTAGGAGAAGGAGTTTCCCCGTTATCATTAATCTCTTATGGACCTATAAGCCCTGGGAATCCCTAAAAGGTCAAGTAAAGAAACCTCAGAACTTAGAAGGATGTCTTCTTATATGATAAAAAAAAGGAAATTAACAGGTTGACCGCCATGAGGCATACCAGTGTGCCTCACTAAGTTCCTTTTCCTGTGCCACATGGCGTACTGGTGTGCTTAACACGTTTGCTGCCAATGACGCACTTCTCTATGGAAAGGATAATGACGAGGTGCGTCATCAGCAGCGAACGTGTTAATCTCCTCCTAGGGGTATGAAAATGACTTTTACCTAGGAAAGTCACCAGGCCAATATGGCCATGGTGGTCAACATGTTAACCTTTATCAGACAAATGACACAACTGCTGTGCCACAGAATATAATTTTCCATATCCTGAGAGTACAAATGCTGTACTGCAACTTTTGGGAAAAGTTTCTGATACTACATCAATAATGGTTTCACTGTCAACAGCTTCTTTTTAGAACAGTTGCACTACTCAGCCAGTGAGTGTTTATGAGTTTCATAGAAAAAATCTGACTGCCAGCATGGTTACACTGGAGATTTAAATCTGTATGATAAAGGTTAAGGGACATCCTTGGGATGTCTGTGTCCTTACGTTTTGATATCCTTGTGATGTCCCTAGTAGTTATCTCTGGGAACTCTCACTTGTCCAAGGGGATATCTCTGAGACAACTTTGTCTCAGAGTACTCATACTTTGGGTATGAGTGTCAGGAGATCTCCAACTCACAGTGACCACGTATTCAATTCCATCTCCTAAAAGAGCTTTACGCATCACTGCTATCCTTCGAAGCATAAGTTTCCATCCCATTGCTGCATATGCAGAGGAACCTAGTTTTGTTGGAATTAAAGGACATTCAAGATCCTTGAACAACTTATATCATTGAGTTAAGAAGTAAAGTAGAACATGATTATTCCCAAATGTGTATTTCCCTCATGAATTTCTTGGAATTGCTGTCTCCAGCTACATGCACCTCACTTGCAGGTGATTTTATTTTGTGACTATGTCACAAAGAAGTTGGCATTTCCATATAAAGTTTCTCAAGGATACCCACATTTTATTATTTTGATATACACCTGGAATTGTGATTCCTCCAAAAATTATCATGTGTACTTGTACTCATACTACAGTTGTTTCATGGAGGCCTAATTCCACAGTGGTTCAAAGTGGTTTTCCCTTATTCCAAAGGCAGTCTAGGGATCAATGGATGTGATTTGCTCTTGCCATTTTGGTGTGCATAAGCATGAAAATGAAATGAGGTACAATGTGAGACCAGGAATGCCTTTCCCTGTTACTGGACTTGGGTTATATACCTAGATTGTTTATTTTAAGTTCCAGAAGATTGTAGGCGCACCATTGGAGTAGAATTTGGGTCCAAAGTGGTGCATATAAGTGAACAGACAGTGAAGCTACAGATATGGGATACTGCTGGGCAAGAGAGGTTCAGGTGAGAAACTCAGGCAGCCTATCTATACTTAGAAATATTACATCAACATCTCAGAAAGGTTATTTCCTTCAAATGAAACCAGGGCAGTGACAAGAAGTTACTACCGTGGAGCAGCAGGTGCCCTTCTTGTGTATGATTTGGCAAACAGAGCAAGTTACACAGAGCTCACAAAGTGGCTGACTGAGGCTCGCCAATTGACCAGCCCCAGCATTGTGATTCTGCTTGTTGGGAACAAGAAAGACCTGGAAGCTGATCGAGAGGTGACGTTTTTGGAGGCCAGCTGCTTTGCTCAAGAAAATGGTTTGTTCGTTTAGTTGACTTCCACATCATTCTCCATATGACAGATACAAGCATTTGAATCCTTTTTCTGTTCCCAATGTAGAGTTGATGTTCTTGGAGACGAGTGCTCTCACAGGTGAGAATGTAGAAGAAGCCTTCCTCACATGTTCTAAGAGTATCCTTGGAAAAATTGCAGCTGGTAAGTTATGTCTTACTTTAAAAAATAGCTACTGCAACTTAAAACTGCTGTTCTTTACATCCAGCTAACATTTTTGCAGGAGAAGTGGACCCAGGACGGCCTGAATTAGGAGTTCAGTACAGTGATGAAATCCGAAGAAGGTTGAGGGAGACACGACAAGAAAGAGAGAAATCTGACTGCATGTGCATAACTTGACCTTTTCTTTCTTCCTTCTTCTTGTACCTCTTCAATATATTTGTTCATCTTGCCATTTGTTCTTTCTCTTAAAAAGCCATGAAAACATGATTTTGTTGAGATATTTCGTAAAAATTGAAAATATATTATCCAAAGAAGTTTACAATCAAGTGACCATCCTGTGATTTGTTTTCAAGGCTTCATAGAACTAATAATTTGACATTTAGCAGAAGGCTGTTTTTTTAGTTATAGAGCCTTCGAGATGTGGCTTTTTCAGTGGGAAGCTTCAGGAGAAATTGCTTAGTTATATTTAAAATTTGGTTTTACGAAGAGCATGACAAACCTGATTCCTCTGACATGCTCTTAATTCAACCATTAAGATGTCAGATTTTTCATGGTAAACTTGCCTGCATCACCAGATCTTGCTGCTTTTAGTCAGTTGAGTGCCATGAGCTTTTTGGCTGTGATTCAATTGCATTTTCAAAGAAATAAATATATTTTTCTTTGAGCATTGGCATGAGATTACGAGTTTTAACACAACTCAATGCTTCTCTCATTTGAGCCCATGCAGTTGTCATTCTTATGAGTTCAATCTTGTGAGTTGTGTTGATATACTTTCAATCTGTATTTTAATTGGAAGGCAGAAACAGCAGTGCATGGGCACATTTTTGTGTCTAGGTTTAACTGACTGTCTGATAGAGAATAGTGGAAGGCTATTGGTACTGGTAGTACTGAAGGTTCATAGAAAGAAGTTGGAAAATGAGAGAAAGTCCTTAATTCCAACTTAGTTGTGGATGTGGGACTTGCTATGCTAATAGCAAATGCTTGCTAATTATTACTTCAATGTTGATGTGAAGTTTATTGCTTCTTGTGGCCCAACTTGTCTTAGTAATTTGCAGTGACAGATGAAGCCTGTAGTTTCATGACACCTTCTATCCTTTAGTCTCTTATGCCCCTGCTTCAGTATTATTTATTCTTAATGCAGTCAAGGTTGAAAGTAGATTACTTTGTGAGGGGCTGTGATTTATTTGAATCAGATCAAATGCTACATTTTCCAAGTTCAAATTCAAGTAAAGAGTGCTGCCTTTGTTTCATTTACATAGAGTATGTTTCAGTAAATTCCTGTTCATTGGAAATGGTGCTGACTAAGCTTGGTATTTTTAAATTGTCTGCTGCCATAATAATGAAGAGACCAAATCTTTACATAACACTTTCATTTCTTATAAAGGAGTGAGGACTTAGATGGCACATGTGTACAGATCCAAGTTTCAGGCACACTCAGGAAACTCTTCACTGATCCATCATTGTATGGCAAGTGATAGCCATGTTGGTGTTCATGGAGCTGGACTGCATGCAGTATTGGTGCCTAGAATATGGCAATCTAGAGCAGAATTTTTCTTCAGTTCATATTAACTCGGAAATGAAAATGGATTTCTAACCTGGATAATGGGTTTTCCAGAAGAATTCAGTCCATGGAACTCCATTCGTCTGCAATGTAGCCATTTAAGGAAGAGTCTCTTGAGAGAATGATCATGAATGCGGGCTGTATGGTCCCGTAACATATCACAGCTGAGGATGAAGCATTCAGGTCCACTGCTCAAGGCAGCATAGATGAGGAATGGGTCATCCTGGGATCTGGAAATGTAATGAAAATCCATTTCCTAATTACTGCACAGCTTCAGTAAAAAATATTCAGTTTAGTTTTAGTAGTTTTTCTCAAACTTTGATGAGACTAGGACCTGACTTCCTGCTTGAGCATAGTCTGAGAAAAAGACTTGAAACAGGGTAAGATAATGTGTATTCTGCGTTTGGCCAAGAAAGGGCAATTTTTAAACTATGTATTTACTCCCACTGGAGAGATTTTTTTAAATGGTAACTTCCTCTGGGCCCATCTACTGATGGATATGCTTCCAACAGATATTTGAAATTTCTTAAGAATTCATTCACCAAGGCAAGCTCTTTGAGCAATTATTCAGAAGTCAGATATTGAAAGCAGACAAGCATTTGTGCTGCGAGTCAAGTTGAGGAAACACAATGCTGTGGTTGCATATCATCAAGACTAAACTGACCTTCCCTTTCCATTGAAATACATTCTTTGGGCTGACTCCAATGATTTTCAAAAGCTTTTTCCAATTAGTGAATGATGAATCACTAAGAATCAATGCATAATTTACTAAAACTTTACTTACATTTTTCCTTGGTTTATGGTGAAGAAGGAGGCAGATTGAGTCTAGTCAGACCAAAGGTTCAGTCTCCTGTTAATTTCTATCTTTAAATAGTAAATGAAAAAAGGCACCTTAAAGGCAAATAGAATATAAAGGCACAAGTCTTGACAGGCCAGATGGAAGATTTCAATACTCTTGTGCTTGTGCTATAAGATGAGGACTGATAGAAATATGAGTGGAAATTTTGTTGTTGTTGCAGGGATTGATATTATCAATAGAAATCAAAAGGATGTCCAGTGCTGCCTGTTCTGCACAGTCTCTGGACCCATGGGCAACAATTGCAATTGGACTCTTGTTGCAGTTGTTTGCATGGTAGTCTATACAGTGAGTTGCCTTTGAACACAGGAGACTGTAAAGTGTCAATGAAAGAAAGTTGCTTGGGAAGAAAATAAAGTGGGGACACCTGTGACAACAGATCAGTTAGAATGGGTTTTCACTTGCCCAAAGAATCCACACAATGGGCAGCTCTGGAAATTAGTTTATTTCCTGTCACTGTTCCACTTCAGGAAAAAAAGTTAATGTATTTTTCAATCACCCTCCTACTGATGTCTCTCTCTGTCTTTCCCTCATTCCCATTTCATCCCATTCATGCATGAATGCAAATGAGTATAAGTAAGGTTATTTTTCTACAATTGTTACTTCACTTTCTGAAAGTATATCATAAACTCTCTATTGAATGGTCCCATACTTTACATCTCAGGCAACCTTTACAGATAGATGAAATCATCTTACACTCCTGTTGAAGTGATTGCTGGATTGAACTCAATTTTTCATGCACTTCTGATAATAGGCAAGCATCTTATTATGATTCTTATTGCTGTTAGCTTTTAGTAAGAATGAATGCACCACATAACTTAATGCCTTCTTATTCTTCCTCAGTGGCAAAATACAAGGAAGGATCAAATAACTAAGTGCATGGGTAGCCATACTTAAGTAAATAAACTCTTACTTTCTCTGGGCACTGAACATGTATGATTTCTTTAAAAGTACCAGCTTTGATTGTTAGCAGAGAATGATGAGGTGTTGGGCTTCACCTCAGACCTGACTCTACACCTGCATCACATTTTGTCATGGATTTTTTGTACACCCTCTGACTCAAATTGAATAAGGTTTTTAATGGTATCAATGAAAAATAAGATCAATTAGAAAATGGATAAGACTTTCGCCCAGGAATGCATAATAGTGTGTGGGAAAGCAATAGTAGGAATACAGACAAGGATTCTGTGGTGAACAGAAGGGAGCGCTTTTTTATGTATTTCAGAGCTGCAGAATCTTTTCTTCTCATATGATGCCTTCCCATGACAAGGACCTTCTTCTTCAAGTCTTCAGCATAGAACTGCACTATTGATGCAAGCTGTGGTGGAGAGAGACAAGAGGGAAGTCTATGAATTCCTGAAATCCAAGAGGTATTTCCTTTACAATATTTTTTAAACTTCTATAAGTTTGTTTGAGCTGGCATGCACACCTGATTCAAGCCAGAAGACTTTTTGTGACTATTGCTGATCCGGTATAAGATATTCAGACCATCTATAACAAGATCAAATGGTGCAGCCATGGTGACCATCTCCCTGAATTGCCTCAGCTCAAATGGACTGGTTTTCATGAAGACATCGTTTCCTGTGATCACCTTCTCCATGAAAGCAGATCTCAAGGATAAGAATTCATTTTCATCAAATTTGTAGGCTGGAAGAACTTCACCACAATTCTGGCACACTCTAGAGCTGAAAGTCAATGGGATCAAACATGACACAAATAAGTCATCAATGTCATCAGATTCAAAGAAAAATGAGTTTCACAATCAAGTCTCTGACTCACCCTCGAGAAATGGTAGTGAGGACTGCAGATGTGGAAATTTTATTGATGGCATTGAAGCAGTCGGTGATCCTTTGAACCAGAGTCACACTGGGGTAGTATTGATAGTCTCTTATATAATGCATCATCCTCCAGAACATATTGCAAGCCTGATCTTGGCTGCTCTCATCGCCGAGCCTGACATGCTCGTTGCAAAGGTCCAGCCAGGTGTCAAAGACTGTTTCACTTGGTCGATGTTCTAATCCAAGTTCATGGATCTTGACCACCATCTCCCATCCCAAGTTGTGGTTCCCCCTTTTGAATGCAGCTATTGCAATGTGACTGAGAAGATTGGGTCTCCCAGAAGCAAGGTTTTGATTTTCCATCACCTTGAGCAACTTGATGGATTCAGTCCATTGGGAGGTTTCACAGAGGGCAATTATCATATCTTCCAAAGTCCCCTCATCAAACACATCTGTCATTCTTTTAATTTTGTCATATGTGGCCAAAATGACATCCTCGCCACAGTCTTCCAGGCTAGTGCCACACAGTCGCATGAACTTCGACAATGTTCCTATGCCTGGAGGAGTGTTCCATTTTTCCAATGTGTTCAGAAGGGACTTGCCAACAGCAAATTTACTTTGTGCAGCACATACTCTCATGACAAAGCCAGGAAAGTTCCTTTCTGTGATGTTCTTGTATCCAACAGACACAGACTTCAGTTGTTCCCAGTCAGTCTGACTGAGTGGACGACCCTCAGTGATGACTGCCTGAAGTTCTGGTGGCACATAGTGCCATCGCTCCTCTTGTAGTCCTTCTTGTGGACTTGGAGAGACTGAGGTTGTTTTCGGATGCCTTTGAATCCACCGAGACAACGTGCGGCGACCACACCTCAGTATGACAGTGTGGGCTAGCATGACCTAGTGAAATTAATATGGATAATACCTTGGGAGTGGTGATTCTAAAGAAAAGATATGAAATGGAGTTTTTCCCAACAAATAATTCCATTCTAGAGTCATGTATAAATGAGCAATTTTTATTATTATTATTTTTCAAGTGTATATTTTCACATGCATGCCCTGTGAACTAAATCCTATTTTCCATCAAGGAAAGAAAGCAATATATATATTTTCTCATTGCCAAAGTTAACTGGGATGGAATATGCAGTGAAACCATGTGCACAAATGTTGAATCTTGAACTTTCATGAACTAATACATTTTTTAAATAAAAACCATTTTGGATTGAATTTAAATTTTAAAAATAAGACCTAAAAATAAAAAAAAAAACAATTGTCCAAGAACAGTTCCTTTCATTGGTGTTGCTAGTTTGACCACTGGCCATGAGTCAGTTTTGGAAGATCTGGATGGCCTTAGTTGGAGGCAGACAACTGTCAGAGCATTTACCAATGAGGTTGGCATTAACTTTTTAGCTGCTTGCAAACTGAGATTAACAGTTTGTGCGAAGTGGATCCCCACAGTTGTCAGCAGAACATCTTGTCCAGGTCACCATTGGAGAGTGGCTAGCTTGAATGGAGTGGAAAGGCTTTGACTCACTCTTCAGTTGGGTAATCACCTGAGATCAATAGCTGTATCATTGTTACAACTCAGAGAGCAACGAGTCAGTGGTTTGAAAAACACCCAAAGAACTCAGATTCCAAAAGGCAAAAGCTCCAGGATCTGCTATCAAGTCACTTTTTAATTTTTCATGGAAAAAACTTTATGCTTGACCATCATGTGCCTCAATGGCAAACTGTCAGCAACATATACCATTCAAATGGTTTTTAGAAAATTATTTTGTGGAAATAGTGGAAAAACCAGCCTGAGACATTTTTTATTTTGATGGCAACCCTGCTGAGAGTCATCCTCCATAATGACCACACCCCAGCTCATGCATTAGATTTGTCAACAACCATTATATTAGGTTTGGTTAGTTTCTCCTTGAACTCAACTCACTGATTAACATACATTGGACTTTTTCTTGTTCCCAAAAAGAAAAAGCAATTGCAATGGTGAGTATAGCTAAGTACAATGTATAAGTCAGTGATGTTCTGATGATCATTTTGAACACACACTCCAAAGACAGCTTCAGAAAGGTGTTTGTGTGGTGGCTGCATCATTAGGACAAGAAGAAGCATATTTTGAAGGACAGTAAGTTGTTTTTCTCACTTGGTATTGCAAACACCAATTAGTAGTGAGATTTTGTAAAAACCTTTGAGGGGGTGGGATCCACTTGTGAGATGACTTTTTTAAATATTTTCTTTCCTTAACATCTACGAGTAAATATCTGTCATCAAATGGAACCAAAATTCTAATGTGCATAAAGTGAACCTATTTGAGCCAACCACTCATTGTTTTCTTTTGAAAAATTCAGTTCCACAAAAAACCAAATCATTTATAGGGGTGCTCTGCTGAAAAGGGGCAGTCAGGAAGAAGGGTTTTGCTGTAATTTATTGACCCATAAAGACTTCTGCTGCAGTTTGAGTTTCCGATATATGGCAACGTGGAGAAAATGCATCAATGTCTACTTGTGACAGTGCTTCTAACCTCCCTTGTAAAAAAATTACTTCAATTCTAATGATCATGCCAGCCTTTGCCAGCTTTCCACACATGCTCCATGGATCCACAGTAATACAACTGGAAAAAAAAAGTAATTGCCTCACATTTTTCTCCACTTGTAAACTGTTGATGCCACCTCTAGTGAGCTGCCAAGGTAACTTGTGAAATCTCTTGTGAACTATCCTTTTCATTTTCCATGAATATATATATATATACTGGTGTTCATGCCCATGCATCAATACATCAATGCCTTAGGAGAGGTCTCCTTGAGGGCACAGTCCAAGAAACAGCTCTGATTGAGACATCAATCCTCGAATCAAATTGACACAGCTTGTTCCAGTAAGTAATTTTTTTTATTGATGACAAAACAAGAAATCAGGTCTTTGGCTTCGCATGATCCAGCGAGGACAGTATAAGGGAAACAACTTGGAATCAGATTTTTATGCTGTGGCATTTCTCAGCTTGAAGGAAAGTGATGAAATGCCTCAAATATGCTCCAGGAACAAGAACCACTATGCTTTAGGAACCCCTAGTATCTGTATCTGGATAGCTGTCAGTATAATTTTTCAACGCATTTCTGAGAAGATGAGCAGTTTGAGCATGTCTCAAGATGCTCTCACTGAAAGGACAGCTTATCGCAAACAATCATAGTTAAAAGTATTGTTTTCTTGTGACATCACTTTTGCCTGGTGGTTGGTCGGTTGTCATCAACCCATCAAGAGCACAAATCCTTTCTGAGAGAGCAGCAACAATGAATTATGCCTGAGAGCAATGGTAAGATGGGATAATGTCAATATGAACATTCTGAAAATCTGAATTACCATCAACATGTACATACATCATGAATAAATGGCTATTGTTTTGGAGCTTTTTTTTGCATAAAAGTCCAATTCCCATAAAGAACCATCAATGTCCATACAAACAAAGAGTGTACTAGCAGCAGATCATAAGATACAGGCATCACCCAATCAGTACAGGAGACAAACTCAGGAAGATCTTTGCCTTCAGATTTTATGCAAAATTGAGGTAAATCATTGGAAAGGAATATTCAAGGAGAAAGAATACACCTGGTATGTGTGCAAAAAGGTTGCGAGGAAAAAACAGACTCACCACAAGACAATGCTGGTTTCTGAACCTAATTGGGACATGCTTTCTTGTGAATTTTCATTAAGAAAAATGTACAAACTACAGGTCAGCAATCACAGTGGGGGGCATTGAGAAATACCAGTTCTCAACTTCTGTATGAGCCTCACAGTATCCACACAAATGCTCTCAAACCAGTTCACTCAAATTCCCAAACCTTCTATGAAGATAGATGAAAGTGTATTATGAAAGAATTCAGATATCTCAATATGTGAAGTAAGAATTAGAAAGAATATGGGAATATGCACCCAGAAGGCACTTACAGCATTACTGTCAATCACACTCATAATCTTATGCCTTTAACACAGAGTTTGAAGTCTGGATGCATTCTGTTGCTCTGCATACAACAGACAAAGCAGTTGGGCATAGAAAAGATGAAATTCACATAAAAAATTTGTGACTGAGCACCCAACAGAACACATTTGTCTGTAACCATGTAGAAATTCACATGCAGATCTATCATTTGAAGGACTTGATGGCTGACTCATAAAGGCTCCCTAAATGTCGAGCTTATCCTAACATATCAGTTCACTACCACAACTGTAGTAAATGTCAATAATATTTATGAATGAGGAGCATTGAAATAGCAAAATAAGATAAATATCTCATTTAATGTGACAGACAATTTTAAGGGGGTAATTGCACAAGCTCTTACTAAGGCGATACCGCCCTTAGTATGATACTAGTATTCACCCTTTTCTATGGATACAAGCATAATACTAAAGTAAAGTATGCACATTAGTTGAACCCTGTGAATATAACCCCATGTTGCCAAAACATGACAAAATTGAGGACTGCAGATTGCTGCAGTGGAACCAAAGATAAGTCAATGTTATGACTGCATATGCCAAACAGAGCTTGAAACAGCTACATATATGTGGAAGCTGAAGCAATGTAACTTCAGTCCCTACAAACTCTATAGTTGGTACATAAGTTATAAGGCTAATTTAAATACCTGAACTGTAATTTGCATGACTAGCCTGGGTGGAGCTTCTCTTCTCAAGAGCTGGTAACATGAACTTATTAGTAGGCCCAGTTTTATCTCAGTTCTCAAGGCTTTAGTATAAGTATATTTATACATTGAGTGACCAGTCAACTTGTTAGTGTTAAAGTACCTTTACCCATCCTTTTCACATTATCCCTTATGCTACAAGTAGAACTTCTTGTTAGGTTCAATGAAGGAATGTGCTGATGCCAACAATATTCATAATGTCAATTGGCCAGGAAATGCCAATGTCATTACCAATACTTAGAAGGGAAGAAAAATAAGGAAGGATAGACAATGGCGGGAGATGGATACATGAAATAACATGAAAGGGGGTAGGAAAAGAAATAAATTGAGGTCTTGGAGCCAGGTCTTAGTTCCCTAATCCTGTAAGAATTATAGGGTGGTTCGACAACCTGGCTTTCTTCTTAGCATGTATACTGAATTTCAATATCATGTGATACATGAAACCATCTCTTCACAAAACTGCACACAGAAAGTTAGTGGACTGCCATGTAATCATGTGTGACATGCCTACAAGATCCTGACACAAGCATGGGATTTCCATACCCGTACACATGTTGCCAAGGTAACTCACATATGCCTTTGGGTAACTTATATATGATTGACTCTTTAAAAAAAAATTGCCAGTATTGCTAAGTTTCTGATATTGGAATGAAACTCAGCTTCTCCATAAAGCAAGAGATCATGAAATTCAGTAGGCTCATTTGGCTGTTAAGGGCATTCATCCATCACATTTGATGGGCTGAACAACTTTGTTGCAAAAGTGAATGAGAATTCATTTTGTTTTAAAATTCTGCAGGGTGCAATACAGCCTTTGCACCCTAGATTAAAACCTACAGGTCCAACTCTAAGTAGTTTCCTCCTCTATAAAAAGTGATACAAAACAAGCTGATGAGGAAGGCAATCATCAGAGTTGAAGACTAGTTGATAGTTCAACTGTTTATACTTGGGCATTATTGTCATTATAATGAACAAGGGCCATCAGTGAATCCCTAGCTCCAACCATAACCCAGGCCATTGATCTGTGCTACATACAGTGAATCACAATTCCCAGAACATTCAGAATGATAAGCCTACCATGAATCTCATCATCTCTCATTTTTGTATCATGCCAAACAATTATAATCCACAAGCAGACAAAATAAGTCCATATCAACATAAAGCTTAAGCCTTTCTGAGCACATACATCAGGATCTACCTTGAATTATATATCATGTGAAAAGTTTCATCAATCATGCTTAGCATCTACCATCATTTGAGAGTTCTTCTCAATAACGAAAGTACAAAGCCTGCATGGATTTCCATCAGAATTTTCGTAGCAGCATTTTATCTTGACATTAGCCTATCTACAACCTAGGATTTAAATGCATTCTGGCTGTGATAGGTACATTTTGGGAAATAGTCACTCTATGTCATACGGGGCCAAGCTCTGCTAGCAGGAGCCAGTTCAGACCAAGCATCTGTGTAGCGAATGTCAATCTCTTCTAATTCTGGTAAATTGTCCTTGAGATACTCATATGTTCCAAGAGAAAGAGCTGTACTGTTGAGGTTTAGCTTCTTTAGTCCAGCTAAGGAAACCAAACAGCGCAGACCCTTGTCAGTCACAGGAGTCTCACACAGATTCAGGACCTGAAGTTTCATTAGATGCTCAGCTATCAACTGGAGCCCGGTGTCACAGAACCGAGTCGACCATAGGTTGAGGTACCTAAGGGAAGGAAGTCTGATCAAATATTCTGCACAATCTCCAGTGACATTTGTGAAGGCAAGGCTCAAACACTCCAGGTTTCCCAGTGAGCCACCACTGAGCAATTTGGCAACATCAGTGTCAGTTGACTGGCTGGGGAGTGTAAGTTTCCTGGGTCCTCCTTTCTTTTGCAGTTCAGCCAAGTAACTCTTCTTTTCCACCAACAGTGCATATTGTGCCTTTCCTGATGAAGTACTCTGCAAGGCTGTCACAATCTGCATCACCGATTCATCTTCACTTACAAGATCCCATTCCAACATGCAGCACAAGATCTCTTGTACCACATGAGACTCCCGCACAGCCAGGAGTTCAAGAATCCATAGGTGTTTCACCAGTTTCTGCACAAAACTCTTCCGCCGGAAACAGCAGCAGAAGAGAGCTTCCAACATCACCACCCACACATCCTGGTCCTCAAGAATAGCATCACAGAGAGTTGAGGGGCGATACAAATCAAGCCAGCTCTCTTTCTCATCTCTCACACCCAGTAGAAGCTGATGGACTTCACATCGAGAGTCCCTTGCAATTTCATAGATGATACCAGAGAACCTCTTGATGAAGAGATCTGAGCGTAATGCCTTTTCAGGAAAAGGCAGAGGTTGTAAAATCTGAGCCATAACTTTTCTCCAATCAAAGAAGGAGATCATAGATTCCAAAGCAGCAAGATGACAGTCCAAACGACTCTCAAGATCTGACTCAGACAGCACTTCATCAGAGAAGCAAGCATATAAGGCAGCCAAACTGACTGATACCAAGTTTGGAAGAACCCTGGGATGGGGACAGCAACTGCTTTCACCATGCATGCTCTCAACAAAATCTTTCACTGCCATCCTCCCATTGTTTTGGCAATACAACGACCATATATAATCTTGAATGAAATTTCTCATGTGACATGTCTTGGTGAAGTCCACAGTATGCTTCAAAATATGGGAAACAAGAGGAGTGAAGATGTCTCGAATGACTTCCGAACGAGGATTCTCGTGACAAAAGGTGGAGAAGAAAAGGCACACATCACGCGATGGAATCAAGTTCTGCATCAAAGGGGCCACAATGTAGAGGACGGACCGCTGGAGCTCAGCTGACAAAAGTTTATTCTTCTCTTCAAAAAGGTGAGATACGACATCAAGAGGAATCTGCCGCACACAATGGTCTTGAAGCTGAGAATGCAAAGCTTCATCAGCCATCTTCTTCACTTCCCTCAAGATTACTTCAGAGCGACTTGTGCTCCTCAAGATCTCCCTTGATTTGAAAATTTTTCTCTTCCAGTTCAGGGAATAACACCACTGGTCCCCAAGGTATGCACTGCCAGTCCGCAGAAGATAGGACATGTCTTTGAATATGGAAAGACATATCACACTCCTTTCTGAAGAACCCAAAGTCAACACATAGGACACATCCTCTATAGCACTATATGGCAATGGATTTTTCATGTATCCAAACATTTTCTTTGAGATGATGGCAGAGTCAGTCAGGATGAGATGATGAGTTTCCCAGCGCCTCAGGTACTTTGACGTGAGAATCTTGTGTAGAAGTTTTCGATGCTGAGGAATGCAACAAACTTGAACTTCTCCATCTTCCAGAAGTTTGAGTTTACGTTTAGCATGTCTGGGAGTGGCAATACATGCTTTCAAGGGTAGACTGCTGCAACTTGAAGTAGCTCCTTCAGCCATCAGATTGGGATCACTATGGGACAGCAAGTTATCTCGGTGGTGTAAGGAAGAGGGTATGATAATATCTTCTCCAGTAATGGGTGATAAAATCTCCCCAAGAGAATTCCTGCGTTGCATATATTCATTTTGAGAGGTATTCCTCTTCAAATTGAGAACTATTGGAAGGTCCCGATTAGCCTTTTTGATGGGGACAAAGTTGTTTTCTTTCTTGCAATTGTAAGGAGATGGTGATTCTGGTTCCTGCAGCAATGGATTATTGATGACCTCTTCCAGGGCTTGTTGAATGGATGTTCTGGAGCTGCTGGATTCTTGGCTATCAATATCCTCTTGCAAACTTGTACTTGGTGATCCACTGGGTTCTGTAACTTGGATGGTAGTTGATTCTTGGAGAGATGTTGGGCTGGCAAGGGGTGTCTCATCAATATAGGACATATCACATTGTTGAAAGTCAAGTGTCCCGATGACTCGATCACAGACTTCATCATTCTCCATTGAAGTGGAGCATTGACTCATTTGAGTGACAGGTTTTCAGCATGATGTGGTCCCATCACAACCGCATTTCGTAGACCTATGAATGGCCTGAGATCTGTGAACAAGAAAATTTGAAATGAAGAAAAAGAAGAGTACAATTCCCAGGTTTGGCTTAATGAGAGAAAATCTTAATGTGCTTAGCACCGGAAGTTAGAGACCATTTTCAAAGGGGTTGGTCTTATCATACAGGCTGGAATGAATAGTACCTTTCAATCTGGCAACTCATGATCATTGTCATTATCATTATCTTTTGCAGTTTGGCTAACATAACAAGCTAGTCCTTGAACAGTTGACTCCTGTAAAACTATGCCAGTCTAGGCTTAATAAGCATTTGCAAAGTCATAGATGGTGAAGGCCTATAAAAGTCATAGTTCGGTGAAGGTGGAGTTGCATTGTGCTTTTTTAAAAACTAACTTAATCCTTTCACTGGTATCCCAGAGAAATTCTTGAGCTGACCTTCCTTTTGTAGAGAAAAACCTACCAGTGAAGGGGAATACTTATTTCATTTCAACTCAATGGAGTTTAAACAGAAGAGATAAAAAAAGGGTAGGGAAAAATTCAAGTAGGTCAACATGTGCATTGCTTAAAGGCTAAACCTGTCTTATCTCTGACAGGTCTGGACTCGTCAGCTAAAAAAGATTCAGACACTTGTTATCCCTTAGAGTTCACACTTGGCCAATACTGAATTTGAAATTAAGAAAATGTACAAGCAAAAATAGACCCAGATGAAAAATAATTTCAAATCCATAAACTTTTTGAGATACTGATGGCAATACCCAAGGAATAAGAGACTTAACCCCTTAACTGGGTCAGACACCTTTTGACATTTGACCTCCCTCAGGTCAAAATGCATTTGGTGAAAAACTTCCCAGTTCAGAGGTTAATGTTCATAAATGCAAAGAATAAGAAAGCAATTCTACCTAGGGCCAAATGCTGAAACCTCCACAAGTTAATGGTGACTTAAGAACACAAGGAATCCTATGAGGGAAAATGAACTCTTTAGCTTAAAGACTCCTCTATCTTGCCTGAATGAGGTATGTGCATTTGGGCCTAAAATTTAAAAGTAAGATTCATAGGAGAACATCATGCTAGTACATGTTCAATGACAATATATGGGGGAACAAGCATGGCCTCTCCTGGGATCCTTTGGATGAAGACTAGCATACCCCAATATATTTTTGTATCCTCTGAAATTCTTCAGTTGGCATTGATTGCCCCTCAAAATATTATTTTTGTCACACGGAGAATGATACTGAGTATTACTTCCAGGGAATATTCCAGTTTGAATGGACACAGAGACTCCTGGACTTTTGAGTCTGAGGATGCCATCTCTGGCATAATGAAAATGCCTCTTTCTTTTCATTCAATTCAATCCAGGATTGCTAGGATTCTGCTGGGAGAACTTGGAAGTAGTATCATCTCTTACGAGATGATACTACTTTATGGAAGAATGAATATGGAAATTTGATTTTCTTTTTTCCAGAAAAGAAAAGAAATTGCCTTAGAGTCAAACACATGAATGAAAATTGAACTAAATTCAGCTTCTCACCAGAACATTGATAATCTGAGCTCCTTTGTGCAATGGTAAGTATTCCTTGACTATCAACCTTCTGCTTCAGAAAATTTTTAATCCATGCCCTCCTGAAAATGATAAATATTGTATATTCGTCCTTTTGTCTGCCCTGCAATGATATTGCAAAATGAACAATGACATTCCTCCTGTCAGGTATAAGACTTCTCAATGGCCAAAAACATAAGTAGTCTTGAGAGAAAGCTGGAAGCATTTAAATATTCTTCAATTAAAGCATATTCCTCCTAGGAATCCACATATTCTGGTAAAGGTCAATAATTGATAGATCATATATGGCAGCTATACACAGATATGGATTCCATGAATAGTCATTTTTCACCATACAGTAGAACCTCGGTTATCCGGGCCTCGATTAACCGGTGATCGGATTATCCGTGCGTCTTTTTCGTCGACGTTTTTTTTCGATACGGCCCGCTTTCGAGACGTGGTACGTGTACTGTATACAATCATGTGGGAGGGAAAGCAAGAGACTTCCAGAAACTCAGAAGACAAGAAATTTACATTTCATTGGGATTTCAGCCGAAAAACCTGCTTTTAACCCTCTCTTCTTGCTAAGTGGTGGGCCGTAAATAATTTTTTCAACAAAACAGACTATTAAAGCAATACCAGCAAAGGTAGGATTAGTATTTTATGAATAAATCGCATTTTAGTTAATATACCATAGCATTACATAGTTTTTTTTCGAATTCTGGATTATCCGTGGTTTTCGATTATGCGGCGAAGGTCTCCCGGTCATTAGCCCAGATAATCGAGGTTTTACTGTATATTGAAACAATGCTGAATATTTAGAATGCATAGTTAAAGCATACTGTTGATAAGACACATACCTGGAAGTAATTAAATTCAATTCAATTTCATATAAACAACCAGGTGCTTAGTATGGATCCTACAGATCATCTTTTGTCCTGGTATCCAGAAATTCAGACATTTGAATTTTTATATATTATTAAATATGTATTAATTAAAGCAGAAAATCCAGTTTTAGTACATGCAGATATAGAGGAAACAAATAGCATATTTCAAGGGAGACTTCAAAGTGGTGCTGCCAATTTTCAATATTCAAAAGGGAACATTTTGTGAGGGAAAATACCTGGGACTAAAATGGATAAATATATATGTAGGAGACTCTGGCTGAAGGATAAAGCCAAAAGACTTTTCATTGAATAGATACAAGTGCAGTACATGGATATAAAATATGAGATAAAATATCACAATATAATTAATTAAGTCTAGCAATGTGATCATACAAGACAGATGTATTCAACTGAATGGATGGAGACCTTCATATAACCTGAAATTTCACATATGATGTCTTGAAAATCAGGATCATGAAGTGATAGGGTATACATTTTTTAAAGTATCCAAGATGTTTGAAACCCTACCATGAACCTGACAGCATCATATAATGTCAAAGTTATCAAAATCACAAAATCTGGTCAGTTATCCAGAATGACCCAAATTGGAACAACTTGGCCCACTGTGCCTCAAAACTGGCTGTTACCAATGTTGAGGCTAATGACCCACTTTGGGCACTTTGAACAGATAGCTGTCTTTCAGTTTTGTCAAAACTGGGTCACTCTAGCTCTTGTTTCTAGTTCACTGTGCTCATCACTTTTTACAGTGGCACAACATCTAGAAAAATGTCACTGACTTTTGAGCAAAATATTCTGGTGATTTTATTCATAAACCAGAAAACTCAATCCTCAATGCACTTATTCAAAGGAAAATCAGTTATCTGAAAGAAAAAAATACTCTCTACTCACTGGTAAAGCAGTGAAGTGCCATCTGGTTTAAATTTATGTGCATAGTGTAAGGGCTAAATAGTCAAGTAGTACGACATTGGATCTTGATTATGCTTGTGCCAACACTTGTGTCATACAGCTTATTGATCGAAGGACTGAGAGTTGGTAGTTTAAGCTTACCCTAGCCTCTCCATTTCAAAAACCAAAATGTACACTTAGAGCTGACCTAAGAGCAGAAAACAGCCTATCTCAAATGGAAAACACCATGGGCCTTGTATGTGCGCACAAAGGGGATTGTTGTGGTGAACAATGTCACTAGGGGTTGCCTTGCAAGCAAGCATCTGAAGATGTTAAAGTTACACGACACTTAGCGAGTGGTGAAAGGGAAGCAAGTGGGTCGCTTCCTTAGCGAAGGAGCGGCCAGAGTTTAGATAGCATACCAGGATGTAGGTTTATCATAGTGACTGCACAACAGGATGATGACTCTACTGTGCGGATGACGAGAGAGATAAGACTCAGGGACGTTCATTGGTATGTATGGCGTTTGATCAGGCACTAGCCTGTGGGGCTTGCTGCGAGGGACTTTAGCAGCCATTTATGGCCCTAGTACCTTACTCCGTCACCAGATGGTTCTGGCGTATCAGATCAAAGCAAGATGGCGCTCTTTGTGGCGTGGTTCGCTGATTGGTGTCCGCGGTCTCCGGCGTATCATGGGTTAGGCCGACGGCAGTCCTCGTGTATCCCACAATATACCTGGCATTGCTCTTTTTTTCATTCAGTACTCTTATATCAGGTAAAAATCATAAAAATAGTATAGCCACGTAAACCACCATTTACTTTCAATTGCAGCCCCTTTTTTTGAATCTGTGGAGCCATAGGCCTAAACCCAGGGAAGCTCATTTTCAAACCACTAGCATAGAGCCAATGCTGGAACATTTCAACTATTCGTTAACCAATAATTAGCTCTAAACTAGGTGTCAATTTAATTTGTTTTCTTCTAACTGAATGGAATTTAACATGATGATAAGTAGTCTAATGAGGCAAAGCTTGGGTAGCATTCACTGATAGTTCTCTCTTAATGCTATGACCAGGAAGGATGAATTGGTGCAGGTCATGAAGCAGTTTCAGGAAAAATTGAATCGTGGCATTTTTGAGAATAGGCAAGCAGAGAGTTAAAGGGGTTGCAGAATTTGTTGATGTGTACAGGTGGAAGACCAACCTTTTACAGTTTTAGTCCAGTACCCTTTCTGACAACATTTTTGAAGATTGAAACTGAACTCTCATGTTAGATTTTAGTTGGCAGTTAACACTCTTGCTTTGGGTGCACACCATTCATTTTGGGTCATGGAGGTTCAAATTTAGGCTTAAATTTATTTATCAGCATTAAGATATTGGCTACTGGATTATATTTTACTGTTAATTCTCCAGACCCAAAGTGTATTGTGTTTTAAAATGTAATGTCATCAGTGTGGCATATTCATGTAGAGCATGGATGACAACTATTTCATGAGCACAAGGCCTATAACACCTGAAACTGACATTTGACTTGAATGCAGTCATTCCTAGTGACTGAAGTAGCCTGCAAAATCCTTTTAGTGTTGGACATAAGCAATAGCACAGGAATTCAAGATTAATCACTACCAATCATGGATTTACAATGGTACCCAATGTGCTCAGCCTTGCACAACTCTTTTGACAAAATCATGCAACTCAATCAGTCCATAATCTTTGTATTTGGATGAGTTCCAGGTGCAGGCAATCTAAGCCTACTGTTGTCCCTTTGCTCTTTCGTCCAACTCTGAACCTACCTTAATTTCATTAACATTGTCAAGACAATGTTCTCATCTACTCTGAACCATTTCTATTTGGGCATGTTTATACGTGTTTACGTAAATTTTCTAGATGCGATTTTCTTCTGAGAAATACATAGGTGTTGGTATCAATCACATGATTTGAATGTTGGATAGGGCTGTAGATATTTTATACTTCCATGTTTGTGTATCCCTAATTTTTAAAAATTTCAATTGCATAGTTTGTTCTTAGATTTGAGAAATCCCATATGTTTTCTGAAACAGTTTCTGTACTTCTGAATGACATTTACTATGGGAATTCATCAAAGGCAAGATGCTTTTGAAAATTTGTAGGATTTTTTTATTTATTGTTGTATTAATGGCATTTATAGCCATATGAAATTGTCATCCAAAGGAATATGCTTTTCCTTGTATTCTCATTTGAATTTGAGGAAATGGAGTCTATATACTCCAATTCTCATTGGGAAACTTATTTAATTACATATATATTTTTAATCATTTTTTCTTCTGCCAAGATAGTGTTCCTTGGTTTTGGACACAAAATCCTGTAGTATCACAAAAATGATGACATGCAAGCAGTGGCATAGTGTGAATGAATACATAAACTAGTATGGTAAATGTGGGTTATCAGCAACCTCTTTGTTCCCTGCATGAAGTTGTTGATAACCAAATGCCCATTTTCTAATATATCTTTACCATAGTCAGTGATGTAGACAAGTGGCTCAAAATTACAAAAGATATCTTTCCATGATGAATGCTTCATTGAAATTCATTGTATCTGTACATGAAACTGTTATTCTTTTGTAAGCTACACATCTTGAGAGAATAGGAAGCAATGATTTTGGTGCCTCAAGTTTCTTAGTGTCTCATATTTACCTGGCACCAGGCTTATGCAGTGCCTCCAGAAAAAAAAAAAAACTTTTTCAATGAGAGATGGGTTCGCACCTTTGGAAACCATAGCTTTGGACACAGCACCGTATTCACTGCTCAAGAGAGATTCTTGAAATTATTCATTTTCCCACATGTTCATAATTAAAGGGAATCGGTTGCAGAGACTGAAGTTACAACTATCAAAGTTACCAATAGCAGCACTTTTGCCATTCTGTCATGGCCAAAAGTTGTTAGTAAGCAGCATGGTAGTTGTCAAAAATGGAATTCTGTTTGTTAATGTCAATGGGGAGGGATTGGTTCCCTGAAATGTTGTTAATCAAGGTTGCCTTCATCAGGATTGCTATTAGGCTGCATTACCTGTAACACCCTCAAGCATGGTAAGCAATGGGAGGTAAGTAACATTTAAACTTATTTGACATTAGAGCATGTATGTTGGAATAAAGGAACCATCTATTATTCAAACAGTGCTTATTTTACTAGTTGATAATAGTTAATTTTACTATTTTACTACATTCTTTTATTGAGTTGAAGGTTTGTATTCCCTTTTTAAGGATAGAAATCCTACTGAGGCTACTACTGTTAATGAGATCAGCTTGGCTAATTGTTCTCCCAACTTTTTCTGAATAATTGTCTGGTGCATTTTGATGACATAGACCTACTTGATGGAAATACTCTGTGGGTATTGTGGTGGAGGGGAGTGGTCTACATTAGCCATATCTTGTGCCATCCAATTAAGTCTAGGCCTCCTCCCCAACTTATTTCTACAGGTGGGAATCAGTCATCCTTGCATTATTTGTGAAGGCCATTGGGATGAACTTTTGGACTCAGTTTCTGTCAAGAATTGTGATGAAGTTGAAATGTCGATAATGTTGGAATGAGATATTCCAATACCAAGAAGGCCTAACTTCTTAGTGTTGAACAGTGATATTCTGGAAAAACTCATTATGGAGCAACCTAGCTCACTTCCCTCTGGAATCACCATTCACCCTGTCCCACATCCAGCACCACCTGGTGCACCATCTGTGGCACAGCCTCAGGTATATTCTTGTTGCATTTCATTGATTGAGTCAACTGACAAACCATTGCTTTTATTATTCATACTCAGTTTTTTTAATTATCAATATTTGTATTGGTACTGGAGGATTTCCATTTATGATGGCAATTTGTGGTAGGCCCCTATTCATCATAATTTGTTGACTTTATTCAGATGGTGAGGTCACTAGGTGCTGGAGCTCCTCATGCATCACACCCTGGAAAGAGTGCTGGACCAGTCCCACCTCTTCACCCTATTACTCCAGCCATTCAGGGAATGATAAATAGTGTAAACATGATTTCAGCGCATCCAACTGTCCCATCAACACCTCCAAAGTTGGCATGTGAGCAGCCACAGTCTGTTCCCAATGATAAGGCAACCAATGGACGACCTGAACAAAATGCTCAAGTAAACCATGAGAAGCCGGCAGCAATTCGCACACCTCAGGAAGCTCCGGTTTCTCATCCTCAAGCCACTGCCACTGCCACAGGCCCCCAGAAGCCCCCAGAAGCAGGATCTCCCTTGGCTACCAATGAGGCACCAAGTCCTGAAAAAACCCAGCCAAATGAAGGGAATGTCCAGCCAGAAGTACAAAAGTCTGCAGTAACCCCCGTGGAGCAGAAACCAGCAGAAGTACCTGCATCAGCACCGAAAGTTGAACCATCTCAGGAGACTAAGCCATCATCAGATCAGGGATCAGCTGAGGCTCAGAAGCACTCTTCCTCACCAGATGCAAAACATACTGTGCCTGTGAAGGGCCCGGAGGAACCACGTCAAGTAAAACAAACTGCACCACCAGGTAAAAGTGCAGCCCCAGCACCTGCTACTCCTGTAAAAGATAAGCTAGAGAAGGAGCCAGAGAAGAAGGTGACTCCTGTTAAATCACCTGCAAAACCTCAAGCTGCTGGCATGGTAAAGGCACCAGAAAAATCTCCCCGACAACCTCCCAAAGGTAAATGCAGAAATAATTCACCTCATAGAATTGAAGAGTTGAGAAGAAACAACTGATTTTGGGCAGTCTGCCATGGACAGTCCAAGAGTTATTTCCCTGTCATGATAAGAAAGACATAAATTTTACTATTTCATTGCTATGAAAATAATTTAAATCACTCAACTGGGGAGTTTCCATGCGGTGGTGGCCGGCTGGGTGGGTAGTTATTCTGCGTGCAACTCACAGATGCGACGGAGCTTCATTCGGCTTTTTTTTTATTTAAGGGAAATATTTCCTGAATTTTTCATTGAATGACAGTCCCATATCTTCAAATCCCAAGATGAGTATATTCGTCTTTTGCACCATGCGAGAGAATGGCCATGACGAGTATACTCTTCATACCCAGTTAAGTGGTTAGGCATATGACTACAGTTGGTCTCCTTTATGTTTTCTGCATTAGGATCTCCACAAAAGAAGGCACCTGCAGCAGCTACAACTCCACGACAAAAAGGAAAAGCAGCTGGGAAGTCTGGACAGGATGCCCAACAATATGTAGCAACTAAGTCACAGCCTCCCATCTTGGAGCCAGCTGACACAGAAAAAGAGTCAACTCCCAACAGAGGAAGACCTGCAAAGGTAATGCTTAACATCTTCTTATTCTTGCCTTAAGAGTATGAATTATGAGGAGTATGTGCATTATATCATTAGGGTCAGCGGAAGCGAAGATCAACTCCCCCACCAACACTGGATTCAGAAGAGAGACGCTCAAAGCGAAGGAGAACACAAACTCAGCCTTATCAGTCCCCTCTCCCTGAGTTCACTTATATTCCTAAAGCCCTGAAACAAGCCATGGCTAAACCCCATGAAGAAAATATGACTGTCTTCTTCAGGTGAGGTTGACCGTGGCACGATTTCATTTAACCCTTAGGCCTCTATGGTTGAGGACATGGCCAGTTGGAATTATGCAAAAACTGTTTTACTATCTCAGAGGTGAGCATCTGGCTGTGCGGAATGCTGAAGGAGGCTTCTACATCTGCCAGGCCATGCAGAATATCCATAAGAACAGTCATCGCATTCGTATTCGGTGGCTCAGCCTCATTGAGGACAAGAAGGATCTCTATTCCCCAGATTTCTATGATTATACAGGTAAGTCATAAACTCTGATATGTGCTAACACTCAGACACCCAATGGGTGGAGCACTCCATGCACCATGTTTCTGGTGTTTGGAACAATGAAGGAAGGTGAATTTCCAAATCAATTTAAAATTTGGTTAATCATGTCATATGTTCCTATTACAAGCTAAGTCATTGTGTAATATTATTTATGTGGGTTCATTGGAGGCTGTATGATATAGCGACAGCCTTGATTCATTGGTATAGGGAAGGAAGGAGTAGTGGTAGATTGAGGAAAAGAGATCTTACTGGAGGTTTTGAATATCTGGGAGCATGCTGAAGAGAATACTTTAGAATGGCCCCCCATTATAATATTTTTTAAAGAATTATTTTACATGTAGTTCATTCTCTTTCCTGTTCCAATTGCTCATGGTTTGAACAGTTTATGGTCAAAATAGCTGAGAGCTGAAATATAAAGGCACAAGTGTTTATGATTATGGCACCAGGCAACATTGTTGGCAATTAAGAGTATTGGATTTTTTTTTTTTAAGCATGCTTTTCTTGGTGAACTTGTACTACAAGTACAAGGAAGTAGGCATGTTGGAGTGGAAGCTGGCTCATCACCGTTCCTCTTCCCCTATTTCTAATCATGGGGAAAGGTGCATTCATGTCATTGTGGCCATCCAAAATTTGAGATAATCGTGTCCACAATTGACAATAGGTCTAGATCATCATTCTGAATGAAAGTGACAGCCTGTGAAGGGTAGACAGGCACATTGCAGATATGAAAGAATTATGAGAATGGGGAGATTGCTTTTGCATTTCATGACTTAGATAAAATTATTGGATTTGACAGACCTGTCATTCTTTCCTTTATCACCCTGCAAGAGTCATTATGATACAAGTTCCATAATGTTGGAAAGCTCCCTTCTTCTTTGAGGTGATCACATTTTATGGAATACCATTAAATGAAAAGGGAAAAGAAGTTCAATATCCAATCAAGAAGCTAAGGGAAAGGTTAAGGTTTTTTTTTATGAATGAAATGGTGGAGACTAGGAAGATGATGGAAAGTAATTCTTTCAAAAGTTTGTATCTTAGGTTATGTGATGTATTTCCCTTTTGCAGATTTTGAATGCATTCTGTGCAATTTGAGCATGGAGAAAGTAGAAAAGGGCTACTACCGACTTCCTCAGAAGGAGCTGGAAAGAACTGAGAATATCCTTAAGAGGGCTTTGGAATTTGAAGAGTCAGGTGGCCAGCGTCCCACTGTCACTGAAGAGCATCCTGATGGAAGTAAGGAATCACTGTATTTTTTTTTAGCACTGAATTTAGATGGTGAATCAGTGTGAGGTCTATGGAAGGAATGAATAAAATTTGTCACATGAAATTCACCTTTACTGGTTTCTGAAGTGAATAGTCAATTTTGAGGCTGTTCATATTACAAATGTATTTAATCTTTTAGTTGACGTCTCGATACTGAAAGACGAGTCTCAGCTACAACAGAGGAGGAGTCGGAAGTCATCTCGGCGGGGAACACAGGAAGGGGAATCCTCAGAAGAAGAGACTTCCCTTGATGAACTAGAAGAGGAGGAAGAAGAGGTGGAAGAAGATGAAGAAGATTATGAGGAAGATGAAGAAAAGCCAAAGAGGAGGAAAGGGAGGAGAGGTGGACAGGTTGCAAAGAAAACCCCAGCAACCGAAAATGAGGACCACTCTGCTCGAGGCAACAGAAGTCGACCAACGAGGCAGGCAAAGACGCCTACAGGTAAGAAAGAAGTTCAGGCTCCTCCAACTGTAACTGAAGAACCTGACGAGAAGACATCAGGAACAGGCGTCACCCCCACTCCAAAGAAGAGACGTCAGGAAACCCCCACGGCCGAAGAGAAGCCACCTGAAGCTCCCACCAAGAGAGGAGCTTCAAACTCTCCTCCAGATGGTGGGCTTGCCACTATTCAGGCTCTGAACCAAAATCAGAGAACTACCAGAGCTACTCGAGGTGAGAATGCCTTTTTATTTTCCATTCCCCCCCTTGCAGTATGGTAGTATCATCTTTTTTTTCTGGATCATCTTACATAGGGGCACCAAGTGCAAGCCCTGATGCAAAGGGAAAAGCCTCTTCAACACCTTCACCCACTCCAGCTACTAAGAAGAAAGCCAATAAATAAGATGGAATGAACATACGCTATTCCTCGTTTATCTCTTTTTCTCTTCTCAAGTGACCTGTGGTTCATGAACCAAGCAAGATGAATTCATGTCTAGCTTCCAGCCATCTCAAAGTCATTGCACATGTCTGCTGACAATATCAGTCAACTCATTGCACTTTAATGATTCTATACCTCAAGCATGCTGCTTTGTTGAAGATTTGTGTGATCTTCAGGATCTGGTGCACTATCAACTTGATTCCATTGTGAGAGAGGAAAATGAAATGCCATACGATGGCTGAGGACAGTTTATCTCTCCCACCTGTGCTCCTCACCCCCTCCCCCCCTCCCCCTGTGTACCTCTGCATCGCACTTGTGTGCTTGTTCAGCTTGGGCCGTAATTTGGAACGTTCCAGTTGCATCTCACAGTGACTTGTATCATAGGGTCTATGAGAAACGCATTGCTGTCTTGCATAGTTTTCCTGTAGGGTATGCATCCCTCCACTGCTGCATTTCCTAATTCTTTGCATGTTTCTCTTCTCATGTCGTAGAAGAAAAACATGACTTTTCATATTTTTCATTTAGTGAATGACACTTTTTTATTTGGAGTATGGGTTTTATTGGATTATGGATTTTGAGAGAGGATTATAGAAACGTGTTAAATGCATCTGTTCCAAGCCCATTATTTGTACCTGTTCTGATTTTTTTTTTGCCTTGTGTTGTCTAGTTTGACTTTCGTTTTCTGCCAGTCTGTCCCCCTCATTTGTTGTGAGGCACTTGGTCAGAGTTTCAAAGTATGTGTATTGTCCCTGTGCCATTTGGTGTTATGTAATAAAAACACAATAGCCTGAGGTGTCTGACCTTTCTTCGTTCCCATGGGATGTCACGCGGAGTTCGTCATATTTGGTGCGGTCGTGCATACAATTTTTGCGTTAATGGCGTGGCTCAATAGATTGATGAACCCCAGATAGGCTGTGATTTTAGAGGTAATTGCATCTTACATGAGAGTCTCGAGACGCCCGCGGGTAGGAAAACGCATCTTCCCCAGCAAGGAATTTATCATCGCCGGTCAGCCTGGAACCTACCATAAACTCGAAGAGACACGAAACAACGCCCAGACCCCACGAGATCCCCAGCTGTCACCACTGCGTCGCGCAACGTGATTGACGCGTGCGTCCCAGCCTCGGAAGGTCAACGCCTTCTCATCGCGGGTCTCCACTTCCTTGGAGTTGTGTAGCGGCCGGGTAGTTTCTTGCACCTTAAGGGGATTGTTCTGGTCCGGGCAATCATCTCCGTTTTTGGCCCCCGGGGGGTCCAGCCAGCCAGCCCCGGTTTCATGCCCTCACGCTAGTACCGGCTCGCAATACATGACCCATTCATCGTATCAGTGCAGGAATTCCATTCGATCGTGAAGAAAACGGGAACGCGGTTTGTGCAGCTTATATAAATGATTTGTGCGAGTGATTGAATTTGTGCACACGTGCGCGAAATCAAGCCTGAAGATGAAGGCATTTCTATATATACTGCATCGATCAGGCAGATGGTACGAATGAGAGCGGTGTTATGCATCAGTCAATGGCATTTGAATGAGGGAGCACCCCTTTGTTCCCTGTTCATGCTCTTCCAGGTTTGGCGCCGGATAGATGGCGTCACGAGTGCTTCAATTTATCCATTGGGTCACGTCGTCGAATATGAACTCTCATGGTTTATGAACATAGCATTCCCGGTCTTCGTTGCCGTTGCCTGGCAGGGACAAAAACGTAGATAAAGCGAGCAGAGGTCGTTTGCCCGCGTTCGATATCAGAAGCAAGGGGCGCACAGAAAATCGAATACCAAAGGAAATTAGGCCCAAATCTACCATCCTTGGCCAATTTATAATATAATTTTAAATATAACTACCGCAAATTTTCAAGCATTAAGAGTTAAGATATGTTGAAGACTGAGCCTGGATGGGATGGCATCCCTGCAGAAGAGCGTCAGCCGAGAGGCAGCCACTGAGAGGAGAGAAGAGACTGGCGCTGAACCAATGGCGACGAAGCGTGGATGGAGCGGTGAGCGGCGTCCGTCCGTTGAGCATCCCATCGCCGCCTTGCGTCCCCCTCTCCCTATGCCCGAGCTTTATTTTCCCTGGCCGTATTTTCTATACATTGTCTGGAAATAGGTAGCCTAGGCCTTTGCACGAAGGGCCGTCCTATTTAGGTCAAGACATGCCACACACCTAGATCTAACGCTAGGTTAGTTTTATCTCGAGAGTCTGGGTTACTTCCCAACCTATGCTACGCACTAGTATTATTCGTATGTTAAGCCATCTTGCCTACAGTATAGTTCAGTGGATTATAAAACGAATGAAAACAATTGAAATATTACTCCCGATTGATTGGCGTTAAGATAATTTCACTTGATTTGGAGTTGTAGATTTTCTCCTAGAAGTAGAACATTGATCTTGGGATGACATGTTACTTGCAGTCATTGGCAGTTGCATTAAGGCTCTGGGATCACCGTTTCCTGCTGTACTTGCTGGAGGAAATTTCGAATTTTTCACACAGGAAATTGCTCATATTTATTATGTTCAGTCTATTGTCTGAATTGTACATGGATATACTTATATATATACTTTTTTGTATTCGTATTTGGAAATCCAAATTTAGATGTCAGTTAAAGTGATTATTTGATGATCTGATATGTTTGCTTATTTTAGTCATTATGAAAGTCTGGTGATTTTGATCAGGTTGGTTGTGTTTGATGCTTCCCTATGTCATCAAGGAAAAAATGATGAAAAATTGAAATTATGTATGCTTGAAAATGAGATTTTTCTAAGCCATAATTTTTTAATGCAAATGATTTTTTAAAACCATTTTATACCGTAATTTGTCTTATGGGCCTGTTCCATCTTGAGAACTTGGCCCAGACCAACTAGAAGGAATGTAATAGAACATTTTGAGGTATATGAAAAGATGTGATCATTTATTTATCATCCTGATGAAGAATTGAAATGCCAGTGTCCAAAGTAAAGACTGTCCCACACCAACTTCGCCTAAATACTAGATTCCTTTTAAATGCAATATTTTGAGTTGTGCTTGGAAGACCTTTTTGTGGAAGCAGTAGAGATAAAAAAGATTTCTTGTAGGTATTTTATTTTTTCAATTTTCTCCCTTCCATTGTTGATGCAACTATTGGGAAGAATATGAGCTTGACTGAAGCCACTCCAAGCTGGAGTACAATAGCTCCATAGCTTTTGCAGAGGGAAGAAATGGCCAATAATTTTTTGTTGGAGAGCTTTGAGAGAGAACTTGTAGAGTTGACTCTTATTTCCATTTTCCTATTTCTCTTTTTATTTCCATTTGGATTAGATCATTGTTGACAACAAGTATTTCACATTTTTGTCCTAATGTCAATTATGAACTTTGGATGAATGGTGTCACTAAATAGCCCAATGGAAAAGTAACATCAAGGAGGTTTGAAAATCAGTTTTACTGAAAGCAGTATTTCTTGAAGCTACTTCTATCAGCCTATTAGTTGGCATGGTATAGCAGCATTTTTAAAATTAACCCTATCTGTTTATGTAGCAGAAAAATTAATGTTGAATCAACTTCATAATGTTCAACTATTATTAGCTTTATAAGATGGTAGATGGTCTTGACCAAGGTTTGATCTTTTCCTTCCTGGCTCCAAAGAATGAACAACTAGAGGAAATGCTTGGCCAACTGGGAACTCTAGAGGTTAGCATTGAATGTATTAAGGAATATTGAGTACAATAGTTAGAAGGAAAAGGATGACCTCCATCATCTTGTTGCTGATGTCCTAGAGCCTATTTTTGCCTCTTTGAGGTCTCACTTCAATCAAGTTTTATTCATGCATTTCCAAGTTTTCATTCTTGTGCAGTACTTCTCATTCTGCTGATGCATTGAGATGTCTGATAAAGCCATTGCTGTATCATGACGTTTGTAGGTTTAGGTCAAGGAAATTAATAGCAACCAGAACGTTCCTTTGAGTTCATGTATTATAACAGGGAGGTAAAAGAAAACTTCACTTAACAATTTATTTTATGTGTCACCATTAAGTGGCTTGTGAGGTGAGAATGGAGCTTTATTGCAGAATGGGGATGTAGTAATTCTCTAAAAGTGGACCACTTTAAAATGCTTGTTCTCAAGCATTCATTCTGGTTTCGTTTCAGAAAAACTTTTGCTTTGGATTAATGTTAAAAAATGACTTAAAAGGTCCAGGATAACATGGCTGGTAGTCCTACTCATTTGTGTGGCCACCTCCAGGCGATATGATTCTATAAAGAAGAAAGATTTAAAATGGTTTGAAAAGAATTGTAAAAAAAATAGTTTCTATTAGTCTAGCTTTTTCTTGCATCTAAATATGCTTAAGATTATTTAGTAATTGAGCTGAGAACAGGGTGGTAATGAATGAAGTCATCTCCATGTTTTTGTAGTTTTAAGATGCTATGATAGTTAAATTTTAAAAGTTATTATATCGTTATGATTTCATGTTTTTTCGTAGAACTAATAGGTAGCGTGTTGACACGGGACATTCAGTCATTTTTTAAAATGCCTGCGAAAACCCGTAGCTCAGCAACGCCCTCTTCCCCCCTTGTGAAGCAAACTGCTTCTTCAGCAAAGCAGGTGAGACCCCAGCAGAAAATTGACCTATTGGCAAGTCTATTCTCTGAATTGATTCTTTGATGTCTTCTGTATTTTAATTTTTGCTTTTCATTTTTATCAGAGAGGAAGATCCAGGAGTGCTGGGCGATCTCCTGCACGAAAGTCTCCAGCGCGCAAGTCTCCTGCACGTAAGTCACCCGCTCGAAGTACGTCAAAGTCGCGGGGAAGAAGTCGCACTCCAACTCGGAAGAAGTCTCCCGGTCGCCCTGCTAGGCTTTCTCTCAGGCAGGTCAAGAAACCTGAGACACCCAAGGCTGCTCTTGAGTCTTCTGCTACATCTACACCAACTATAACAAGAACAGGTTAGACATTTGATTTTTTACTTCGGTCAAGTTAATATACAACCAGGGATTGAAATTGAAATCTCTTGACATCTATTATTTGCACTAGTAGAGTGCAAGTGCAAGGGCATGAGAGGTTGTTGAGGGAGTGTGGCAGTTACATTATCAGGGGAAATGCTGCTTAGGCAACCATGTGATATTATTCCAAATCCTTGCACTCACTGAAGCTCTTGGTTTAATTTTCTTCTTGAACCTGTGGTTACACCATCTCCAACTGTTCATATGTGAATTATCAAAATGAGTTTGAATATGATGTACAAAGGGACCAGTGCACATAACTGCAGTTTGAAGAATTGAAGTTACTAATATATTGACTCTTATGTTCATTATAGAGCGAGAAAAGCAAGTGGAGGTGAAAGATGTTTATATAAGCATAAAGAAGACTGATGCAGTGGTAGGAGATGCCAAGTCTCTTCGGCCAAGGAAGTCTAAGGTTGACTACAGCATGCCTCGACTTTTCACCAGAGTGAGTAGACAAAATACTTTTTCTCTTCTTTCATCTGACTTCCTCCTCAAACTTTCATCTACATTCTTAGAATCCCTGTGCAAAGCCATTGAAGATTATCTCTGTATTATTGTCCATCTCAAGCAATTTAAGAAATGAACAATCAAGAAAAATGCATAAACTTTCTTTCTACTCAATGTCCACAATGCATTAATGAATTTTGAATCTGAAAACACTAGTAAAATTGATAGGATATATATAGGCATTTATAGGGAGAGTAAAGGACAAGCAAAAACAAAAGGGAAAAAAAAATTTTCCAATTTTTTAGATTAACTGAAATGGTCTATAATTCATATGAAGGAAGCACCTGGATAGTGTGATCACATAAAATGGGGTCAATATGATGGCTGCTTATTTTTCCAAGGAATTTCTGCTTCTCTGACCTTTGGTTTTTATGAATATCATTTCTGCATGCTGTTGCATGAAAGAGGAATGCATGGATTTCCAGGAGAATGAAGTGAGGGTGATGTCCCCTTCGTTCACCATCAATCAGGACCGAGAGAAGCCTCGAGAGGTGAAGCACAAAGAAAAGCCTTCTGTGTGGCGTGTCCTATCCATTGTCCTGTGCACGTTTGCCATCCCAGCATTTGCACTTATCCTGAATGCCTTCTGCTCCAAGGTATGTACTGTTTGTTGTTTTTGCCATCATTACTGACTCATTTTGTTAAGGTTTTAATTGTGCCTTTCTGCAGGAGAATGAATGCACTCTGACAAAACTGCCCAAATTCTCATGGAAACCAGAGTTGTACTTTGACATCCATGTTTTTGGCTACTACTGTTGCTTTGTCATGGTCCAACTCATCATTCAAGTGCTGCCAATTGGAAGAAAAGTGAAGGGACCTCACACTGCCGATGGGAGACATGAATATCGTCTGAATGGTAAGCTCCATGCTTGCTTGTGCGAACAGAATACGACTGCATTGGCAAAGATCCATAATTTTTCTCCTACAAAGAAAAAATTGAGGATGTATTCTGTCTCATTTGAATCTCTGAATTGCATGCAGGTTCTTCTCACATCTACTCTGTTTTGAAATCTAAAAGTAGAGGACTGCCCCTGACTAGAATATTATGGAAATTAGTTTCACATGATAAAAGGTAATGCTAACCCTGGGACTACTATTTGTTGGTATTAGTGGAAAGTTAAAATGCAGCATTATTTTAGTTTAAGTGTATTGTAAGTGCAGACATTGTGGAAGGTTATTGACACTAATGTCACATTGATAAAGAGATCATATATTGATTCACAAGATATGTATCTGCATGCTCATGATTGGTTCTGGAGAATGATGTATGGTTGATACAGCATTTTTCATATCAGCTTCTTAAATGTACTTGCCCAAACTATGAAGGGGTGGTATTTTTGTGTATGGAAATTTAGACCACATGATGGCAACATGTGCAATGTTAATTCCTAAAAAAATATATATACATTGAGGGATATAATGATAATGCAATGCATGCACAAGCAGGCTAACCACCCAATTGTTCATTAATTTTAGCCAAGTTTTATTGAAGCTGTTGGCAGTTGGTAACTTCTGAGCAAGATGATTCTCACCCATTTTGGTATCTTGTTATTCCAGTGAATATTTCTTTCAATTTTCATCTTACCTTGGTGAAAATTTGCAATTGACTTATAAATAGCTTCAGGTACATTTTTCTGTACAGTTACACCAATATATGCAAATTGTGTCCATTAAACATTTTGCTAGTAGGTTCTAAAAATTTGTTCTCATGAGATTGGGCATAAAGCTTTAGGAGCTAAATTGTGTACAAAAAATTCCAGTTCCATTAATGAGTCTCTTCTGGAGTATCTCATTAGGGTTTTAAGAGAGATGGAAACTATTTAGCTTTGGAAGGAGTCAATTAGTTTCCATCTTCTGGTGGCACAAAGATGGGGCTTCCTCACCCTTGAAGCAGAAATCTATATCTTAAGTTGCAAAATTTGTTGTGATGGAATGATTTTAAGATCATTCTTGATTGGTTGGTTCTCCTAGCCTCGCTAATCCTGAGCAGAACATTCTCTTTTAAATGTCTGCTTCTCCACTCTGGAAGATCTAATTGATTCATCACTGGCAGTTTGTCTGCTTTCTTTTGCGTTTGCACTTATTGAATATTGGTTTTTCCGTTTCAATGAAGAGATTCTGGCCACCGGAATCAAAGCAGTTAAAGTCATGCTAGAAATATGAGGGGGGAACGTTAATTTTTTTTTTATATTTAATTTAAATATTTTATTGTTCTTGAATACTCTTTTAAAAATATTGAGTATTTTTTTAAAAGTGTATTTAGAGTATTATAGAGTATTTTGTCATCAAGTTTAAGTATGAAAGCATGATCAATTCGTGTGCAATTGGAGTGAAGATTTTCTTAATGTTCCAGCAGTTATCCTTCTAATAGCTTTCTAAAATTCGGTTTCGATTTAGGATAGGATGCCTCCCTTCCTTACTTTTCGGCATGAAAAATAAAACTTTCTTCTTCCAGATGCAGAACGGGAGTGAAGGAAAAGTTAATCGGTTTTGGATTCTTTTGCAATTTCCTGGTTAGAGAGGAAAACGTTAAAGTTATGGCTTCCTTTTTTTCTGGCTCCCCTTCTGCACTCTTTTCTTTGTTTGTTCTCCCGATCGATACAAGGATATGTTCCTGATGAATTCAGGTTCCGAAAAAATTTCGCTGTCTTCCGTACCGTGAGAAGGAAATGGGGCTCTCAATCACGCTGCCCTTCCTCTCTTTTTTTATTTTTATCCAGCCGATATCGCCCATTTCTTTTTTAACGGAATGTCGGGTTACTTCCTTTCTCACACTCTGGGTCTCGTCTGGAAAGGGAGATCCTTCCTTTGTCCTTCAACATGAGTCATTTGTAGTAGGAAACGTGTCATTTAGATAGCAGGGGAAGGGACAGCTTCGGTCACTTGTCGTCGTTGAGGGTTTCCCCTGAACTTCCGCTGACCGAATTGTTTACGCCTGATATTGGTTAATGAATAAACCGGAAATTGGGGTCCCACGTCTCGACTGCGCGGAGGAATCGGTTTTGAAACTCTCGTGGATGACGTGCACGATGTAAACATTCTTCGAGTGAAACGAAAGAGTCGTTCTGGTAACTGTCAGATGGATGAGTTATTTAATCGTTTATTCATCAGGCATCTTGGCAGTGATTCTGACCTTGGCCACCATCCCCATCTTCCATCACTATGGGCTCGATCTCTCCATCGTGAGGGACAAGTTCCGCCAGCTGATCGTCTCGGCCTTCGTCATCTCGGTGTTCCTCAGCGAGCTGGCGTACCTGAAGGCGCGGCTGCAGCCGTCGCGCCACGCGAACCCGGATGGGACGACGGGGAACCTGGTTGTGGATTGGCACCGGGGGCAGGAGCTGACGCCGCGGCTGGGGCCGCTGGACCTCAAGATTTTCATATTCCGGCTGGGATTGCTTGGCATGGTATTTATGAAAAATTGTGCTAAGAAATACTATTCCGAGAAAGAAAGAAACTTTTTCTTGAGCCTCGAGTGGAGTAGCTCTCTTCTCGTTTATTGAGATTCCGTGTTGCGATCGCGGCGAAATCCATGTACCCTCTGACGTTTCTTTTTTTTTTGGAATGGTGCATTACTGCACGTTTTCGAACGCCCGCATCTTATGTTTTGATGTTTGACCTTTAGGCATTCTTTGATGCGTTCCTCGTGTACCTCCTTTGGCGCAAGACCGGCATGATTTCACCCACATTGACTTTGGCTGCATCTTTTGCCATCTTCACCGTCTTCTCATTTTATGTGTTTGAAGAGGACTTCTTCACGACCATGACATATACGAAAGAAGGCATGGGTTTTGTCTTCTGTACTTTCTCCACACTGATTCCGGCAATATACACGCTCAACGTGCGACTTCTTTTCGATCGGCTTGCAGAGTGGGTTTTTGTTTGTTTTTTTTTTATTGGGGAGGAATTAGAGAAAGTGTTGAAGATTATCGTATTTTGTTTCAGCCCCAAACAAGGTGGTTCAATGGAGCTACCATGGTACTGCTTGGCTAGCATTGCATTGATCTTCTTTGTTGGGTTTGTCATCTACACGGTGAGCAACTGGCAGAAGAATGCATTCAAGAGGACTCCCTACCACCCAGGACTCGCAAGTGAGTTCTCAGAGTGCATGCCCTGCAATGAGGAAGGAGGTCAAGAGTTGCTAAAGGCCTTTGTGTTGCAGATCTGGAGACGATTTCAACACCCCGAGGGAAGCTGATTGTCAGTGGGCTGTGGGGATGGGTCAGACATCCCAACTACCTTGGAGATATCATCATGGCCTTCTGCTGGGCTGCACTTTGTGGTAAGTCTCTAGTCTACTTTATGCTGTCACTTTTGGTTCATGCTCTACTGTACCATTATGGGTGATGAGTATGAAATGGGATTCATTTTTTTGGGTTCTGAGTTTTCCTTCTGCTTTTTGTAGGAATTCACCATTCCATCCCTTATATCATCCCGGTGATGGTCCTCTTTATGCTGTGCCACCGGGCTGCACTGGATGCAACCATCTGCAGCAAGAAGTACGGAGATGCATACGACAAGGAGTATTGCAAACGTGTCCCCTACAAAGTCATCCCAAAGATCTACTAGCATCAATTTTGCCATGGGAACCACATTGAGACCATGTTCTTAGAGAGCAGCATGTATGAAAAGGAAGGAACAATCTAGGTCTGTAAAGCCCTGAGAGACAAAATTTGCTAAAGGGATGTCATCACTTCTCATGCCTGTTCTGATCTCAAGTACAAAGAAAATTTTGTATCAAGTTTTTTTGACACTGTTTCTACCTGTGAGAGACGAACATTATGTATTTGACACCCTGATATGGTAGTTTTTTTTCTTACTGTTCCTTTTTTTTCCACTCATGTTTATTTTTGATTGGTTTGAATTCATGCATCTTGTTACTTTTGATATGTTGTTTTCCTTCCCTTTTTGTGTAGAAATGTACACTATGAATGGATGAATATTGTGTGGGATTGTATGAGGTACAATGTGGTTACATCTCTGGCAATCATGGTACCTGAATGTGGTACACATTTCTAGTGGTATTTTCCTTTTTTTTTTTTAAATCAGGGTCCTTTGGAATTACAGTCAACCCTCAATATACTGCACCCCTCGCTCATCACCGACTTTTTCCAGAGAACAAATCTCCATTATAGCACCACCCCTGCAAGCCACCATCTACTGATACCATTAGTATAAATGTGGTTTTTCTAATTTTAATCCTCTTTGCTCTTGTGCCAAGACTTCAGTAACGTAGCCACAGGCATGCTGTGTTTCGTTTGATCTAGTGGCACCTGCAATAAGTGCCAAAGTTGGTGACAACCAACAGTGGTGCTATAGTGAGGGTTGACTGTACAGGAAAAATTCATTTAGTTTTGTATGGGAAAAAGAAGCACTTTGAAGGAAGCCCAGTGAGCTCGGTTTCCTTAGTTCTCTTTTTAAGCTGACTTTTATGTAGGCCTGAACTTTTTTGTATTTGGTTGATCTGCCAAACCTATCTCTCTCATATCTTCCACTAAGAAGTCATGTCAAAGGAAGGGTTTAGAAAAAAAAAACTGAAGGTAGTGACAGTAGTTTCACAAGTGTACAAAACTTTCCATCAGATCTCACCATAACAACATTTTGTGTTGGGACTTTTGAGCACTGAGATGTGTTGGGTATTGCTCAAGAACAAGATGGAAAGAGAATGTCATCAATGAGCGATGTTTTTCTAAACTCAGGATTTCATGAATATTCAAGGTTTTTTTTTAGGAATAAATGAACTTTTGTGAATGTGTGTATATCATCTTGGTGTGTGCTTGGAAGCAGTTGTTGGACTATTCTGATTACATGCGTTTTTCTTGTCAGAGGTACTCCAGGAATGGATACAATATGCAGCTGCTAAATGTGAGCTGCATGAGATACAGAATCTGAAGACACTTGGTCAGCATGCAGGTTGCCAGGACTTACATTGCCTATTGTTACAGCCATAAATCAGGGAACAGAGAACCACTATTTCCATTGGTGAACTTGCTGAGAACATTTGTCAAAATGTTAATTTAAACTGCACTTTGGTCCCAATTTGGGAAGTTCTTTGATGTAAGATGAGCTGCAAGATAAATGTTGCACAATTAGGCTAATTGACAGGCTCTTCATTTTCTGCAAGCAGGAATGATCAATAGCTTTTTCTATTTTCATACCATCCTTTTTCTTTGGCACAATGCCAAATGGAATCCTCCACCTTCATAGATTAAGTAAACCTGATGCAGTTGAAGTCAAGAATGCAAAATACATACTTTCTCATGTAATGCCCAAAAACAATATTTTTTTACAATGTGCAACTCTTGAAGCAGTGCAGACCTAACTGTTTTACCTTTCATTGAAACAAGTTATATGCTTTTAATTGTGATTGACTGGCCTACTTGTTCAAATAAAAATTCAAAAGTTAAAACATTAAAAAAAAAAGCTCTTGGATCTATTAAAGCATGTTACAACAGTTAATAAATCGTGTCTTTGGAAACAAATTGTGTCTTCAAATCGTTAACAAACATATTTTGTGATATGTAGGAGGCTCCTGAGAGGCCTCTGAATATTATGCCAATTGACATTTGCTGTCATGGAGGGGTTAAGCTGCATATTTCTGCTCTTTCTGGATTGTTTTCAAGAGAATTCAGCATCCTCCCAGCTGAAATTTTTTTGCCCAAGTGAGGCTATGAGTAAAAAGGCAAGAAAATTGGTAAATGAAAATGGAAAAGGGATTCCAGTGCCTCTTGATGACTTGACTCCATGGCTGGTGTCTCCTCTGATGCAAATGAAGGAAGAATAGAAAAAAAAAACTCAGAGGATGCTTAATATTGATTCATAAGTCTGTAATTGGAAAAACACAAAAATGAATCATTGTCAGTGATGTTCAACATGCTCTTGAGTGACAACTTCCTTTAGATTTATTTTTGTTGTCAGGTTTTGAGTCTGACTCAAATATGATCAATGGCCTAGCAAATCTGAAGGAAATTTCCAGTCTGTTCAAAATGTGTCAGCCAATAGCCTGTCCAGTCCCAGAAAGGACCTCATCTAAGAAACAAAGATCAGCAAAAAGTCTCATTTGTCATACTTGGGCCTTTTTTCTCTGCCTTCCTCTCCCCAAAAAACAGGTTTGAGACAAAAGGAAGGTATTTGACAGGACATAAGAAATGGCACTCCACTTGGAGCTCATGCCAACTGGTCCTTTCTGGACCTGGATGAACAATACTCACTTCAAGGATTGCAAAAATACTGGGTGGTAAGGCACCTTTGTGAATGTACTGAGTTAAAGTACAGCATTGGTATAAATATTTTCAAAACAGTCAAAAGAGGCCAAATTCCAAATAAATAATTCAAATGGCATTATTCTTGCTCCAGTCAATGAGGCACAAGAAAATTATCATGTCTAACAGGCAAGAGAGGAAAATGCACTGAACATGTTAAATTAATTGGCTGGGTTTATCATTGCCAGTTTACATTATGCTATCCACTTACATGTCAGTGTATAACAGGATGGCAGCAGTTTTGGTTAGAAGTTTTGATGCCACAGGGGCTTTGTTTGTTCAACATGAATTACAGTTTTCACGTGCATCACAAATTTTGTCTGATTTTGATTGGATTACAGCAATCTTGATTCACAAGTGAATTTAAAACAATTACTCTACCCACTTCCTCAGGTAAAGTGCAATATAAAAACTTGGTATTAAAACCTTCAATTCAAGACAGGTCATGTAAAGTTGTGAAAATTGATTGTGTTACATGTATTTGACCAGTTTAGTAAATGTCCATTGAGGTCCAATGAGATTCCAATTATCTAGTTAAAAGCATGCAAGGGCATTCCAGTAAACAAGGCTATGTTGGACCAATGTTGTACCAACGTTACAAATGTTGATTTAACGTTATGTATCTCAATTTGTTTGCTGGGATGTTACCTCCACATATTCAGAGGAATATGGCATAATGTAACCACTTCTTCTGAGGCACCCAGAATGCTTCCATGCTTTGTGTTTTTTGATTGACTGCATGCTCCAACAGTCTTCTTTCAAATATATGTAATGTCTGATTCAAAGCTGGTTTCAGCTGACCTTTGTTGACAATGGAAGCAACTGGAGACAGAACATGTTAGGCTTGACATTGGATTTCATATGCCCTTCACATGTGAAGCAGGTAATAATACCCATGGAGGAAGTGAATATCAACCATTCTGTTGAACAAGAATACCTGTATTCATAATGTTAACCATTCTGTTGAATAAGAGTATCAATATTCTATAGTGTTAGCTTTCCTGTCAATGAAACCAGATCTCTTCCTAGATCCTACTACACTTTAATCAATCCACACACTCATCAATCATCATCATCGTCAGAAGGAACAAAGAGTTCATTCTCCTCGAGGAAACTGGCAAGAGACTTGCTAATAAAGGCACCAATGGCCAGTCCTATTATCACAGTGAAGGTAACACCCACCATTCCAAATTGAACTTTCTTTGGTGGTTCCAAGTAGGCACCAGTTGGTGTGGTGACCACAGTTTTTGCTTCAAGATTATTTGCACACAGTCTTTCAAGAGTGGGCACACGTAAACTTGGTTGAAGTATTTGGCACTTTCTATTCAGGAAGCTCGTTTTTCCAAGGATGGTCTTCGCTCGAAGGCCCATGCATAATGTTTGGCCTCCCATCCTCAACTTTTAGAGAGAAAAGTCCAAACAATTGAATACCAGCACTTCTGAGCATATGTTAAATTATTCTTATAATGTGTGTATTCTTATAATAAGTCCCACTTTCCTCTAATTCTTTTTATGTGTATGTAAGGAGTGTTAGATTATCCCTCATATTATGAAGAATTTTATATCAATGCAAGGTCTGAAGCATGTGACAGTACTTTCTACAAATGGGGAGTGTCCCTATATGGCATTAATCAAACATTTTCTCAGAAGAATTTCATTACATAAAAGATCCAAGCAACTGGGGTGAGGCATTGATTCATGGGAATATTCTACTTATAATGATTATTTCTAATCATGAATCAGCAATGCCTAGAGAACAATATAGTGATTGTTCAGCATAGATGATGTAGACCTACTTACAAGTAAGAAGAAATGATCTTTGATGAAGATACATTCTTCATTCCTGTCCCTCACAAACTCACCATTCACCTCGCCCCTTTTGACAAAGAAATGAGGTTTATGTCTGGGCAAGTGAGGCTTACCCAGATTGAACTATAAGTCAACCTTTGTTGGCTAATAGCAACCATCTGCTTTTGTCTCTGTTTTTACCAAATAATGACATTTCCAAAAATCTTATCAAGAACTATTTTGCATATTCCATCCTTCATTATGGCCATGATATGGGCCTAGCATCAAACTGATGTGTATCATACAATGTGCAAGAATTTTCCACATTGTTCAGGGCCAAAATGTTATTCCACCTGAAATGCTGGTCAATGCCTCAGTGGGGGGGACTAATGCAAAATTTGCTGGACTGGAAGGGCTGAAGGCAGAAAAATAAAATAGGGTCAAGGGTGAAATTCACAGGGTGATGGGGTTTCGGGGGTTGATCTCCTAAACCTCCCCTTCCCAATCCTGATATTTTGCATTCTCTATAGTTTTACATCTAAAATGGTTTTTCCTCTTCACACATACACATCGGTGACTACTGCCAGGTCATAAACAGCTAATCAAAGACATTTCAAAAATATTTTAGTTTGCATCTAGGGGTTATTGGGACCTTAATGAAATACACCATAAAAGGTTAGACCTTAGACCACCAAACCTGTGCATACCCAATTTCAAACTTTGATACCCAGGCACCAGGCCTAAACATACTCATGTCAGTTGAAAGTGATATCTGGTTAGCGTGCCACATTTTTTGGAATAAAAAGATAAAAAGAATTCAATTTCTGACCCTACAAAGCCACAATGTTCTCAAGGGACTGAAATGACATGTGGGGCAGGTGCTACACTCATTAAAACTTGGCAATTCAAAGGCATAAAAGCACTCAGAATACAGAAAGCAAATGAATACTGGATTTGTTCTCTGAGTGGGATGGTGCTCTGACCCTCTGCTCAAGAACTCCTCATTAGACCAATGATAAACCTCACTAAAGATCGCTTGCTATGAAAGTAAATACACTTTGCCATTTGACTACATTTGCCAAGCTTATTTTTATACTTGGCCAATGTCCAAATCTAACAAGATACAGCAAATTACAGAGGCCTGGCTGGTTTACCCCATTTCAACAAGGAGGATGCATTTAGTTGTTCACTGGAGAAAGGACCAAATTTACTATAAATGATGGGAAGAATCAGCTTTACTGATCAATTTTGCATATACAGTGAAGGTAATAATTGTTCAAGGGTAAGTGTGTGAAAAGAAATACTTACATGGATTACCGTAAAAATAGGGAGATTCAGTAAAGAAAGAATAAAAAAAGAGATTTCAAGAGTTTTAAGGTTTGCCACAAGGTTCTTTCAGGAGGATATAGAGGAATTTCATGGGAACAAAGATAGATGGATATGCCATAAGAAACAATGACCAACTTGAACTGGAGAGCTAATACATAGGTTTGGCCCTTAGTAACTAAACAGTGAACAAAAATTCCAATTTTAAATTTAGAAATTGCCAATTCTGGAAAATAATTGTTATTTAACCTAAGATTCCAATAAATGAAAATCTCATAAACATTAGCGCAGTGTAACTGCAAGCATATTCTGGGAGCACAGCCCCAGGTGAACCAACTTTTTTATGGCTCATGTCTGATAGCTAGTAGATAAACATCTGGCTTATTCAGCCTTTGGCATCAAGAGACAGTTGTGTCAACTCCTGTTTTTGCTGGAGGACAGTTATTTTTTACTGGATGTGCTTCTGCTGCTCTACAAATTTCTTGATTAAAGTTTTCATCCTGGTGAAGGCGAGTACAAGGATCAAATCCTTGGATTCAGAGTTGCTCCAGATTCCTGATCATGGCTTTGTCATGAGTTTCAGAGGTGCCTGGAAGCACCAACATCCCTAGTTTCTCACCTGGATCCCATGAAGAAAATGTGCTTGTTGTGTTGTGTTTTACCATGCTTCTTGCAGAGAAGCTTGGTAGAATGCATGCATGCACGTATTTGAGGTCCAGTGCCTACAAGGAGATTTCTTTGGACTTCACCAGGATTCTTCTCCAATGCCCTCATTTTGACGTGTCAGTGTCTGTTGTTCTCTGTGATAGCCCCTGGCTCAAACAGGTTTCCATGGAAAACTAGTAGGTTTTCTTCTTGAGGATTCCTCGGTGCTTTCCTTCATCTGGCTAATGATGTTTCCGATTGATCCATTATGCAGATGCTGCTCTCTTTTCCCAAGATATCGTGTTAACGCTCTATCCTAATGGACAGGACTTGCCTGCTTCTGAAGGACACGTGCGCCTAGACTAAGATGCATACAATGGAGATTCAGAGAAAATGCGTACCACAATTATCTCGACTGATCGCTTCAGTTACCGGCACGAGGTTTCAGCAAAGCAAGGCCAAGAAGACCATAAGACTCGGGATGGTTAGACATATGCTTAAGTTAACTTCCACGTGTTAAGTCTTACATCTAAACACTGAGTTTGTCACGTTATAGTGCCCTCCGACCTGCGGGTCAGACCAGTCTCGAACGTCAACCCCATCCTCGGGGCCCTGGCTCGGCCTCGACCCAGTCGACACAGACCTTCTCATGCGGCTGAACTCTTGTTTACTTCATGTGCTGCCATCTGTTGCCTCTATGCCAAGTCGTGTAGTTACATCGTCCAACCACAGAGTGCAACAGCATCTCTCTCTCGCAACGTCTCGTCTCACTCGCTCCAAGTGCCGTGTCGTGCACGGACAGCACGTGGGTGGCGTTTTACCTCGATTACAAGTTAAAAGTGGACTTTGACGGTGTTTTATGGACCCATTCTACAATTCATCGGGGTGAGTATTCTCCAGTTTCATTTAGGAGGTGAAATTCCACTGCAAGCTATACAAAAAATAGATTTTAGAAATGTCCTCGTGTTGCTGCTTGCAGTCTTTGAGGTAAAGTTCGTTTGTGTCTCAAAGGTTGGAGTAGACGAAATGCCAACACATCGAGATTTGAAAAATGACAATTCGAAAAACTCGGCGACCGCTCTGTGAGTCAGTGTTGCTGTTCCCTAAAGTTGCCCAAGCACAGAAAATTGACTGGGAGCAACTGTAAAGGAGGAAGGGGGGGGGGGGGGGGGGGGGGGGGGGGGGGGCACAAATTTNGGGGGGGGGGGGGGGGGGGGGGGGGGGGGTATGGAGTGGCCACAAATTCTTGAAATGCAAAAAAGTGCGAGCACATAATTTTTTTTGACCGGCGATCTTCATTTTGCTATGGTGCCCGTTTAATTAGAGAATTATGCGAGTCACCTTCAAGATGTCGTTCCCCAGAGGAATTAGCTGCATTTACGACAATGTACAGGGCGTCCTGTAAGTCACCGTACCATTAAATTAATATATATGTATTTATATAATTATTTATTAATAACAATTGGCACAAAAGAAGAACATACAATAACGAATCGATAGCATGTCATTTGGAATTATCTCTGCCCAAAAACGAAGAAATTTCCGCCCCAGACGATGCGTTTTGCTCAACGTCGAACAAGGCCTTCTCCAGCAAAAAAAAAAAAACCGAAATTCTCTCTGAACTTCGTGGCCGAGTCATTTCTCATGACAGCGAAAGCAAATTTAAATGAATTTTTTTCTGTTTCTCAAGTCTGTCGAGATTCGAAGGAAAAAAAATTGGAAGAGAATTCAAAAACTAGTACCGTAAATCACCCTCAACAAGTACTCCTTAACATGCATTAGAAGCCATTTCCGTTTGAATCCGTTTCCAAAGTCATTCTCGAGAGAGAAAAGTGGAGGAGAACGTTCCTTCCATCGATGCAGTCAGCATTGACCTTGAAGCGGCTCGGAATGCATTGACGTTTGAAAGGGTGTTTTGAATTATGGGACACCCTGTACATTAAAAAAGAAAGCATTGAATTCGCAATGCCCCATTCTCGTCTCTCTCCAGTCGCAGCGTTGAAAATCGGGAGGGAGTGGAAGGGGGGGGGGGGGGGGGGGGGGAGGGGGGGGAAG